CTATATTAAGCGGCCTTGCGACGGGCTGATAACTTGACCAAGGAGTCCTACCGTCTGTGTAAAAAAATACGAAACTGGAAAAGAAGCAAGGACTCAACAAAGGGCTGTAAAACCATTGATAAATGAATAAATGACAATATATCAAGAAACCTATTTGAATTCTTTATTTGAGAAAGTTCTGCAAAATTATGTACAATTTATATGAAAATAAGTTGTCTTCTTCAATATGCTAAATTCAGACAATTACAGTAAACTCGATTTACCACTACAGCAATATACAGGCGAGCAGAATCACGCTACATGTCCTTTGTGGAGGGCGTAATCCCCGTTTTCAGTCTGAGTCGCCTATATTTCTGCTTGCATTTCTTTACATGACGTAGAAGACGTTCCTGGAAAGTTCCTTCGCCCTCTTAATAGATTACATTCCCCCCCCCCCCTATTCAGTTCGCCGTAGATGCAAGCAGCTAGAAGTACTCTGATTCCAGCTTGCGGTAGTTAGAAATGCGTGTAATACAAATCATGTTAGGGCCCACTCTTTTCTCCTGTATAAAACCCATATTTCGACTTGCAGAATGTGATGATATGCAAAGCTCAAATCCGCACATCAAAGAAGATGCATTATAACGAGAAGAGAAACAACATTGCGTTCATTTTCAACAGATTCAGTTGGCTGTGGCTGAAACTCCTGAATATCTGACAGAATTAATGTGAAGAGAGAATTGTAAAATGGAAAGGTACAATCCAGTGCCGAATTAAAGGGTACCAAGGGGAAATTTATGACTTCGCTTATACTTAATAGTTCCACCCTGTGCTATATGAAAATGAAGGACGTGCAATTTATTCTTCGAGAGGAGGCTCTGCTACGAGCAAATCTTACGCTTCCTGCAAACTTTACAATGCAGAAGAGCATAATGCGGTAAATGCTATGCCCGTTTTTCTCTTCGTCATGGCTTGTCGACTTCAACTGCTGCGACATCTTTTCGCTATGAGACTTTCTAAAGACATGTTGTTCAAAATAAACTTACACACAGTAGAAGAACTGCGCTTTGAATATAAATTCAACACATTTCGAGAGAGACAGAACTCAGAGTTTAGAAAATCGGTTGTTCGTTTGATAAATTTTAAGATGCAAAGTCTTGCGATATGTTTCTTCAGTGATGCTGCAAGCAGAGATTGCATGTTCGGTCGCAATAGGCCGACTTGGTTCAGACGCTGCAGCAGAATGCAGACACTCTAACAACAGTCACGTACATCCTGACATGTTGTTTCTAGGTCTTGTAGCAACGAGTCTATATGCCACAATATATTAACCTGAGGGATCTTCAGAAACGAAATTTTATTCGATATCTCTGGCATCGAAATTCGATCTACAGACTTTCTGAGTGCTGTTCAGATATGCTAAAGCAACATTGTTTCAGCTGGTTAAGAGAACTCACATGTGCAGATGCAGTAATTTTTCTCTTTTCAGTCTGAATTATGTGAATAGATATAAGGCGCTTTTAGGGTACTGTATTACAAAAACCATTCAGCATCCATATTGCGGGGTGCACGCGGTAGCGTAGTTGGTTGAGGCACTATGTTACAAGCCGGAACGTCGTTCAAGTCCCGACGAGGTAACTGGATTTTTTCAATTGACCTAATCCTTCCGGCTGCACTATGGCCCTGGGATCGGCTCAGACTCTAACAGAAATGAGGAATTAATTAATTAATTTTCCTGGGGAGTAAAGCGCAGCCGGAACATAAGGATGACAACCTACCGCCATCTTTGAGCCGATTGTCTAGATAGTGTGGGACCCTCAACGTCTGACAACTCTATGGGCCTTCACGGCCTGGTACAGGGATAGCTTTACTTTACTTACTTTTTTACTCATCTTGCGGTTAATCAAAAGGGACATCTCTCTCTGTGTTATGTATGTTTCTTTATTTTACGATAAACAGTCAAGAAAGTGTTCCGATAGAGGACGTACAGATGTTGGCATACACGTTTCTCCTTCCTCTACACAACCGCCCCTGCCGCTTCCCGTGTCAAAGCAATCGCCTCGCCTTTAAATGTCCCTTTTCACAAAATTTAGGCTTCTACACCACGAACTTCTAGAAACTATCCCACTGAGTGAGTAATGCATGCATAAAATCTGTCAAAACATTCACGCTCTTGTCACGTTAAGTGGCAATAGCACACCTATAATCCATATGTATATTCTTTCTGGGCCTCTAAATGCACATGCGTGTTACTTTCAAAACATTCATACCACAGTGAACCAGAATTTGGTCTGTTCCAACGTTAATGTTTTGCTTTGTTCAGTGAAGTTGACATTCTCGTTGTTGAAATTGTACTGAACTAAACGTCTATGAATGTTAAAAACTTCGGAATCATGCCAATCGTTTAATACTGCATGAGTCGGAAAGCGGGAAGTTTCTACTACTGTACCCAAAGAGAGTGTAGGGTCATCTCAGGATTTCAGCTCAAGAACTCTAGCTAGTGAGAACAAAGAAACAATGGCTTACTCCTGGTTCTACGTAACGTAGATTATACTTGTGTTGCTTTGGCTCATTCGTCCACGCGTGTGTTTGAAACTGTAATGGAAGACCGAGTAGGCTGAGACTAATTTACGCACGTTTGTTGAAAATCTTTGTGTGTTATACACCCTGAAATGTAACAGGAGTGACCCACAGGGCCCACAGCACACTGAATCATGTGTGTGCAGGTGCATAAATTATGTTAACTTAATTTTCCACACTTCATTATGCTTTTGTATGATTTACTGTAACGTAAATTACAGTTAATTCAATCTACGTTACTACGTTTTAGGTAGAAGATAATATACAGAAGTGCAAAAAATGATTGACATTAAAATATTATTTTGAGGAAGGGAAATATATAATTCTTATAAAGTAATATTTAAAAACTATCCAGGCAATAATGATCTGGCAAAGAAACGATAACACAGACTGATAAGATGACAATATATGAGTGAACAGACCACTATGTTATTTATGTAAATTTCTGTTGGAAGTGTAGTGTTCGTTTGCAGTCAGAATGCTGCGACACACAAGTTGAGGAACACTGATTCAAGGAGCACGGTACAGTATACATATTCAGTACTGGCTGTTAAGATCGTTAAGATAGGCTACAAGGCCTGAAAGTGACCTGCAGGAACTGATTAGAATTAAACACATGAACATTACATTCATAGCCGTACGATTGTTTTAATCAAGGGATATAAAATCATCACTTTTGTCTGTTACGATATATGCATAAGGCATAGTTAATTCTACAAAGTAGAACATATCCATCTCTAGTGCAGCGATGTATTTCTAGGGCATTTCTACAAAATATAATGATAATTCACTCGTAGAAAACGAAGAATTCTCCTACGAGATATGGCTATAATCACTGTGAACTAACGCTGAAAAGCGCTGTGGTATGAGTTCCTATACACAGCAGAGAGAAATTTCTTCCGCTGCATTTCCTAAGACAATAGGTTATTTATATCGCTTTATACGTGAACCCAAAACTCTCGTGCGTTTTCTGCTCGTCACTGCGCTACAAAGACTTAAGTTCTGACCCACACTATTATTTGAGCCATCCAATGTACTGGAGATAATCCATTAATATATCGCTCTTTCGTTCCAGGTACGTGCGTCGTTTCTGCGAATAGAATTGGTACCTGTAATCATGCATCATAACATTCGAACAAAGTCGATAAAGGATTCCGCTACCTCCCCTTCCTAACTCCGCATTTTTGAGAAGACATCAGACATTTAGAACTAACGGATTATGCTTTAACAATCACAAACAAAAGAATTACAGTACCTTTAAACGGAATAAAGTGCGGTTGCATATTATGCGAGGATGCATTCCCGAAGACCTCGAATAATTCAAGACAAGTTTTAAACCATAACGTAATTGTTGTCGACATTTTTTGGACTCACATTATTGCAAATTTTATGTATAAAGTGAGACTTTGTTAATACTTTTACATTGCACTATTTCAGATTCACTTAAAATGTGAACGTGCTGTATTCAGTTTTGGTTCCTCTTTAAGTCGATCTTATTTCACTAATGATCCGGTGGTCTGAGACGCCTGTTTGATCTCGGACGCTAAGAAATGCATCTATTTGAAGTATATATATACATCCACTGCAACATAAGTTGTATTCAGAATGTCACCGTCTGTTTAAATAAATGAATGTCGGTATAAGACTTACCGAAATATTTCTAGGCCCATTTCACATGCTTATCTTCCCCGTCATGTGAAACGCACATCACACACTCTGCTCTGGAACATCTGATATCGTAAGAAACATAGACTGCACACAGTATCCACGATTAAGTAGCGTGTTCGAGATATAATGGTTAAATTATACAACTGAAAGAGAAATAAACTACTGCCCTGTCCTGGGAACCAGACAAAACATTTTCTAGAAAAATTAAAATTTCCCAGAATACTAAAAGAGCTTCTGAAACAGTAGCAAATTGCAGCGAATCAAAATTATGTTTCCCTAGTTGCACGATTAGGAAGTATTTTTACATTTAGAATTCGATATTTTATGAACGAAGCACTGATAAAATATTGAATTAAGACGTTCTCACTCCTTAAACAAACAATGAATTTAATTAGGAATTTTCTATGGAACAACTATAATAAATAGCATATTCTTACATCAGGAGTTGCCCGTGTTTTCGAGACCCTTGACTTCACGTCCATTCGCATCGTTTGTTGACTACAAAGTTCTGGTTTTGCCGCGTGATCTTGATCTTGTTACAGCACACGTACATCCCATGCATCCCTCCCAGCCCCAGTAGGGGAAAGAGACTTCCTTTCCACACCATCCATGCAGGCTCTGGGGCCCACCAATCCTCGTATCCAATGATTGTGGTGGGCTCTTTCCTCCATAGCAAAGCGAGCGGGTTGTGAACAGGAGGCAGTACCCGAAAGGTCGTGTGGAAAATTTCAGAAAGCTGGATTCTGTGGAGAGGGAAATTTTAAGCTGTCTTCGGCTACCAAGGCTGCCAACATCGTTTAGCTCTGTGGTGGAGCATTTGTTTTTCCGGCGGTAGTGTTTTTCCGTCAAGCGCATTGTTTATACAAGCATTTTGATAGAAAGTAGTTTATCACTACATCCAGGAAATGAATATTAGATGCGCAAAGGTATGTGTGATGTTATTAGACGCTCCAATTGCATAAACTGTCTTTCGAATGTGAAGAAAATATGGCAGACTTCTAGCATATCCTGTGTGCCCTTAACCTCACATTGTATAATGGGGTAGCAGTAAATCGTGTAGCGGATTCCCCTTTCTACGCGAGTCCATTTTCAGCATATGCGAAACTCAGCCCTGTTTGATGGATTTATTCGACGTTACAGAGGCTCGGTACTGGAACAACGTCTTTAAGTAACCCACGACAAAAGAATTCCCGACTAGTGTTTCAGTTTAGACAATTTTTAAAATTAGTTGTTAAAAGTGTAATAATACAAAACAGACTTGAGTATGATGGGTGACTGCGAGTAAATCTAACGAAGGACATTGAGACTTACAAAACGTCACAGAATTTGAATTGTAATTAGTTATTTGGTGAAACATGAACGAAGCACTATGAAATAATCGGGCTACCAGTAGAGGGGAAGAATATCATGTACATAATGTGATGTCTGAAAATAACTAACCAGTATTTAACACCATCTATGATCTTGTGTCGTGTCTGCAGGTTGCTTGATATGTCTGTGTACTTTGTACTGCTTCACTTATTAATGCAACTTTTTGTACAGTATTGATGGGTGCATGACTAGTGACATCCTATCACATTCCAGTCACTTGACTCACTATTCATACACCATGTTTCAGCCTATCCAAGGCCGTCATCAGGTAACTGTGTGAGTCGTCACACTATTAATTTCAGATACAAACTTATACCTGGTGACAGCCTTGTATGGGCTGAGATATGTCATTATCAAACAGTAAGTGAACAGTTCTATGAATATTTTAATGTTACATATAATTTTTCTCATTTAGTATGAGACATTATGGCACCTGATGATGGATATTCTTGTGACTGTTGAACCAAGTTAGCATTTGTTCACCCAAATCTGTGTGAAAGATAATAGGTGATTTGCTGTTATGATAAGGTATTTTTTTTCTGTAGCCAGAAGACTTAATGAATATGCAGCACTGCAATCTGCTGTGCTTACCTGAAAACTACCAGATGAAATATTATTTTTATCATGGCCTCTCATGGCCACAGTTGAGTTATGTAGCTGAGGATGAGAGGGGTAATATAGTTGGGTAAGTTTTATTGCTGCACCATATAATGTAGATTAATTATAATGCACTTTATAAGAATATGAAGAGCTGTTTGAACTAGAACCCAGAATTCCACAGTTGAGAATAATGAAGATGTGGAAAGAAATTTAAGTGCAGGTACATTGGTAGGTTTCATGAATCAGATCAATGATGCTATGGATATTGTAGACGAAAATTACCCAAACTTTGAATACAGCACTGAAGTGATGAGAGGCATTTGTGATGTATCTTGTTACAAAGAAATGCTTCAGGCAAGGCAAGCAGCTCTTTGTGCCACCTTCTAAAAGAAAGCGGACAGTTACTCAGAAAGTGAGCACCAGCCCATAAGTAAAGTTGTCCTTGTGTTTAATTAATTAAGTACCATGAAGATGTATGGGGGAGGTATAGCTCCACCATCCTTGACCTTGGCATTAGGTTGACATGAGTGATTGGCTTCATGACCTGGAGAAGGAGCCCAGTATCCATCAGATAGGGGGCTGGACGGGCTCCAGAACTGGTCTGGACACTGTGGAAAACAGGAAAATCTCTTGGCACTGCAGGGAATCAAACCATCACTTCCAGAATTGCATTTGCAGTATTACATGGGGTACAGCTGCTTATTAAGAGTTTTCAGTTGCTCTTTCAGAGTCTGTAGGTAATGTTGCAAATGTAAAGTTGTTCCCTGCATGTAAGTCACCATGCCATGAATGCATAATGGAAAAGTCTAATGCAGGTCGATTTCATTTTTAACCTTGGTACCAGCAAGGGTTCCATTCTGTGACCACTTTATCATCAGGAAAGAGCTTTTGATGTGCACTGGATAAGATGCTGGGTTACTCCCAGTCTGCATATGATGGCAAAAAGAGAATCCTGCTCTTGCTGGGAACTGAATACATCATCCAGCGCAGTACATTTTAGTCAACAAGTGGGTATGTTGTTAGAATAAAATGCATCATTTGTTGTCACAGTGTTGTGATGTAGCTGCACTGTTTGCCAGCCGACAACATCTGTGGATATAATACTCAAATTAGAACAAACATTTTTATTTGTAGTTAGGCAGAATGCCATCAGGGCACTCTTTGGAACTGAACCACATTTGTCTCCTTCACATTTGGAACAGTTGCATGTGGCAGTCCAAAACAGTGGATATATGTGATTAATTTGATCACATACCCCCACCCCTTCCACTATCATGCAATGCTCGGTTGCCTCCTGCACTGACATAACAGGGGACACTGCAGTTACTGCACAGCAGTAAACGACTCTTGGCAGTGTTCCCCAGCAATGCTTGTAAACATGATGTTACGAAACAGTGAAAGCTGACGTAACTGTTTTCTGTGTTGTCAGTGTGGAAGTTACTAGAGTAGGGAGTAGTGAGTATTCAGCGAGTTACTAGAGGGAGAGTAACCGGTCAGTTGCAGTCTAGCATTCACTGGAGTAGTAACTGTAATACTGCAGATGACAGTAGTTGTGAAACTGTGAATTGTATAAGTGTAAGAGTGAGTGTGGAATAAATTCGCTAGATCCAGAACAGCATGAAGTTATTTGTCGCGTTATACACCCAACATGTGACGATATGTTATCTATCATGTGTTTATCTGGGTCATGATGAATTCTGTATCACAGATGCACATATTAATTGTAAGATACCGGATACAGTTGTTATTATAGTACTTTTAGATGTGACTCATACCTTTTCAGATATGTTTTAGCTAAAATGGAAGAAGACAGTGAAGATGACCCTCATGGTCATATCACATCTCTTGCTGTGAAACGCTCCCATAGGTAAGTAAAAATGTATCTAGGCAAATTGTACTTTGCTTCATATAAAGAAAAATGTGTGCTTTGGACTGTGGACTCATACGATCCTTTTTGCTACTCAGACATGTTGTCAAAAGTCAAGTCAAAAAGAAATCTGAAATTTACAAAATTTGAAAGAGATTAGTTTGTTAAGCAACAAGACTGAGCTTTTGAGCTATCTTCAATACCAGGAGAGTATGTTCATTTCAGCAGCTGTTACCACCTTTAGCAGAGAACGTGTGATGAAATTTTGTTGACCCTTTAAATGCATGTCACAGTGTTCCTCCATCTTTTCCATATGATAGCACTGTACAGTGTAGTTTAATATCTTAAGACACAATAAACTATATATTATTGTAAAATTATATGTAGAATGAAATATGAAAAATGTTGAGGTACAGGCTGATAAAATTACAAAAGAGGGGTAAATAAAATTTCATTACTATTATCACTTCATAGACTACTGTTATGCATATAAAACACTTTTAAATCAAAACGATGCAGCACATTTAAGCTCAGTATCAGCACCCTAATTAATAAATACTTTTTTATAACATGAACTGCATGGAAACAGGTTTATTCATTGGTGATACATTTCACTTCTGCAGGAGATTGGGTTTAGCTCAAAAATTGATGGACCAAGCATCTAGATCGATGGTAGAATGCTTCAACGCAAAGTATGTATCCCTTCATGTGCGCAAGAGCAACAGGGCAGCACTGAATTTATATACAAACACACTTAAATTCACGTAAGTATTAAAGAGTGGCCCTGGATTCTCTAACACATCACAGTAGAATGATGAAGCCTTTTAGATTTTGTGTATAGGTCAAGAATGGTGACACTATACCTCCACACCCCCAATACATTTTTATATGCTTAATTAATTAAGCACAGGACTTTACCTTGAATCGCTGAATCGTGCTGAAAATAACCCTGTGTAAGTTCCACATCATCCAGCTGCTGCACGAAATCGTAAAAAATACGGCAGTGTAAGGTGCTGTCCACGGTCGTGTTGAAGAAGATTGGTCCAATGATTTGTAAACCAGAAATGGCGCACCACACATCCACTTTTTGTGGGTGCAGTGGTTGTTCAGCAATCTCATGTGGGTTTTCAGACGCCCAGATCCTGGAATTTTGTGCGTTTACATATCCTGATAGGTGGAACCATGCTTCATCACTAAACCAAGTGATATCCAAAATTCTGGGATTATTGTGCACCAATTCCCGAAACCATAAACAGTACTGTACCTGTTTATCTTTATCAACATCACCCAATTCCTGAACACTGGTGATTTTGTAGGGACAAAGATTCGCTTTCTTTGCAGCCTGTTGATACGTTGAATAAAAATACCCGGTTTCTTGGCTTACACGTCGTAATGATTTCTTGGGAGACTGCAGTAACCTGTCCCACACAATTGCAATTGCCAGAAGAAATTCTGGCATTTCCGGGCAGTTTTTACCACGTTCACTTAAAAGTGTCCGTCCTTTCCAATTTCTGAGCCAAGGACTGTATAGTCGATGTTGCTGGCTTCTTGCGAACTCCAAACTTCCTTCTGAATTGCAGTTGTGTGTTCACAATCAAGCCTGTCACCCAGTACGTGCGCACGAGAAACATGCGCTGTTCAACTGTGTACTCCATGACTGTCGCCTGCGCACTGCAGACACGTTTCAGGATTGTCCTTGACCTTGCAGCATAAGGGCTGCCACTAGCCGGATCATGCACACACCATTCGACTCAGCATGGGCCACAGGTTATGTCGTAATTGTGAGCGGTTATATGCATCACCTGCGGAATTAGTAGCAAATTCATCGGGCTGGTTCTATACGATTCACCCTGTACGTTGTGCATTCAAGTTCTAAGGTCTCCGATTTTTTTTCTCACACAATAATCATACAAAAAATTTGAAACTTCTGTCACTTTTCAACGTAATCTCCCTGCAGCCGTACACATTTTTCACAACGTCGACGCCATGATTCCATAGCCGCTGCGAACGCTTCTGTAGGAGTCTGTTTTGACCACTGGAAAATTGCTGATGCAATAGCGGATTGAAAAACGGCATCCATGTCTCATCCATTGTCACAGTTGATGAAAAGAAAGTCCCATTCATGCCTTCATCATTGCCATGCGTGCAGCCTTGTGGTCATCCGCCAAAATTCGTGGAACCCACCTGGAGGACACTTTCCGCATTCGCAGGTCCTAATGCAGGTTATGTGCACAGATCCCACGGAAATGCCAACTTTGGGGGCGATGTTTTCCACACTCAATCGGCGATCCTCCAAAACAACTTTCTCAACTCGCTCGACCATGTTGTCAGACCGGCTGGTGCGAGGCCGAGATTGTTTTGGTTCGTTGTCACACGACATTCGGCCTTCTTTGAACTGTCGTGCCCACGAACGCGCATTTTTCACATACACCATCACCACACATCTCACTCAACTGGCGATGAATTTCAATGGGTGTCACACCACGCAAGTGGAGAAAACGAATGATTACTCGCTGTTCTTGTAACGAAAACGTCGCCATTTTAAGTATCAAAAACACTCCTCACACTCGCCGCTACCACTAGAGTTCTGCCATCTCTGTCACGCATTCACAAAGAGTGCACATGTATTTTAAACGAAACTGCATGATCTACCTGCTCCCAGTCCTGAGAAAAAAAATCGGAGACCTTAGAACTTGAACGCCCCTCGTACTTGTAGTTATGATCTGTAAGTGGTCAGTAAATCCAGTTACCAATCCAAACCCTATCTATATTCAGTCAATCATATGACAGTCTTGATTTCTGGCAGAGAATATCAGTTGTTGTTTTGACCACAGTTGCACAAAACTGACAAACAAGTTCTGGAAGGTCTAAGCATTATTACTTTAAATCCAGGTTATTTGCTAAATACAGAACGAAAATAATACACTATTTATAATAACCTTCAGCCAAGACCGGGAAAACTCTTCACTAAATGTAGGAACACCTAATCAGGATTTCACACTATGCTCCTGCCATAATTTTCCTAACCTTAATTTAGCATGCATAATTATGCTTTGGAGAGTAGTAATTGTAGACTTTATGCACCACAACTTCCAGACATAAAATTTTAGTTAAGTGAATATGGCATGTGCTCAGTTTTTGCAGTGAATGTGACAAATAATGTCATGTATGATAAAAGTACATTAAGTCTTACAGTATAATTTTGTGTTGCAGTATCTCAGAAATTGAACCAAAGTACTATGCTGATGGAGAGGATGCTTATGCTATGAAGAGAGATTTGGTTTCCTTTGCATTTCAAAACACTGGCAAACCGGATTCGAGTTCTACGAGCTATCATGAAATAAAGACTTCAGTTCATGAAGCGGACAAGAAAGATAAAAAAGATTAGTGTTCCCCTCCCATCCCATCTGTATTTAGAATGGGGTGTGTGAAAGATGTTCTTGTGTGGTTGGCTGAAGTTCTCTTAATTAGCATGCCTAATCGCGACATGAAATAAAATTGTTTGTACATCATATATATTGATCTGTGGTATTTACACTTATGCAAAGCTTTGAATTATTTATGTAGGCTAACACAAAGAAGTGTTTTCCACAGACTCAATAATAATGTATGCACTTTCATGGCACAGACAAATTGCACAAGTCAATGTTGGAAGATGACGAACTATGCAAATTTTTCCGCTAGTGCAGTAGTAAATTTATATTGAAGTAAACTGCTGTAGGCAATAGCAGTCATACTCATTACTACATGTTTTGTAATACAGTGCAAGAATAGTGTGTTATTAAATTCTATGATCTGTAGATGCAAGGAACATTTTTGTTTACATGTGAATTGAGAAAATATATCTTAGATATTATATAATTATTTTAGAAATTAATTTCCATTTAATTCCATAATGCCATAAACATGAAATATCTCATTCTGTTTGCCTTATTTAACATAGCTTTTCAGACATTAAGTCAGCACCTCAGACTCTTCCAGTATTATAATCTTGTCATAAGCAGATTTAGGTATTTATGCCATGCTTTGATAAAGGAAAGAATTTTCTTTATAAATAAATGCCATAGAAGATCTAAAATTAAGATATATTCTGTAATCATACTGCAAGAGGAAGGACTTGCTGTCGTATAAATGCAACCGCAAAGGCAGGCAGGGTGCCATGAATCTTCAAGGGATTAAATGATCTTTAAAAACACTACCTTAAACGGTGAGTCTGAGGTAAGATAATTCATTATCATTCATAGGGGGTCATGAGTTCCATCCCCAATTAGATCTGTATGTGGATTTTACTGCTCACAGATTGAATCCTGCATCTCTACAAAAGATGACACTTCAGAGTGTGAAGAACTGTCCTGGGGGAGGGCAGATGGTCTTACCGTCAGTTTCAGATAAATATTGAGGCAACTGTTTGCTCATAAGTGGATCATCATAATTATCCTGAAACTGAAGCTATATGTATAACCTAAGATGTATATTTCTGTTCTGAAGATTCTGTCTGGTGCATATTTAATTATGTATTAAAAATTAATTTTCACGTACAAATAGTGACACACTGTACCTGAATAAATGGCCAAAACAGTGTAATTTTGAGTGAGGAACTGACTATGAAGTGTCAACATTAAATTTCAACAAAATCTTCAAATATAAATCTGAAAACTGAGTTTACACTTCAGCTTCATATGAACCTTCAGGATTCAAATTTAATAAAATTTGTGAGTCAAAGTCAGTATGAATGCCTATTCAACAAGGGTTCTTTCTTCTGGCATATTGCTGGATAGTAACAGTTGCTGGTTTTATTGAACTTAAAACTCAGACTGAATCAGACACACAAAAAGTTAACAATCTGAAATTTGATCGGTGACATATCTGTGAATTGTACCTCTAAACTGGTTTATGTTTCATCATCAACAGGAAATCTGCATTAATCTTTAGTAGGGATGCTAGTGTTGTATTGCATATACAATTTTGTTATTGACAGTATATTAATAGTAGAGATACTTCACTGCATACAGTCAAATTCTCTTTTCAACACACTACTTAAGTTTTATATCTGCTTTTTTTGTACATTAAGTTATGTTTGAGAAGTTTTATTATGAAGTGAGGATTTTATTTTAGTGTGAGCTCTCAAACACATTTCAGTAGCTTTGGAAATGAAACATCAGACAAACTTCACCTCATCATGCACTCGCTACAAACAGTGAACAAAAAGTAATGCACAACACACGCAATAAGACCTCCACACAGTAGCCTCAGAGGGCTCAAAAACAGTTGGACATACCTTACTATTCATTATATGGATGTTAGCCTACATTAATGCATGAGAACAATATTTTTTAAAAGGTACTGGTTTCTTACCTGGCTCATTCTTTGCCCCGAAGATGGAGGCGACATGATTCTCCAAAACATCAGTTTACTTTAAGTGGACTACTCGGTGTTATATCCCAGAAGACAGAATTGGTTGTAACCACCACTGTGAGAATGTCAAATCCTACAAGATTTTCTTTGTTATAAAATGGCCTCTGTTAACCCTTTCACTGCATATTATTTTCTTGCTATTTTCCTAAGATAATGCAATTTTGAGGTAAAAATATGAAGAAAAAATGCAATGAAATCCATTTTCATAGTCCAGTGAGTGAAGCTGAATGATACAGTGCAAGAAGATTATTCTTAATGTGGACTAAAGATGAATGTCACACTATAGAGTAATGGATGCTTGTTCCACTTCAGTCAAATATCGCAGCAAAGGGGTTAAAGAGATCTTCATCATACAAAGGCATGAAAAAATTCATAACACAACATTGTTTTTCTGTGGTTTTTTAACATAAGCGATTATAGAAAATGAGGCTCTGGGGTCCACTGCTATTTTATTACTAATGTCCCTGTTGATATCCATGATAAGTCCAAGCATATAACATTAGTCTAACCTTGCAACTTTACTGCATGTATATTTAATTTAAATTTCAGTAAGGGCTTACAAGAATGTCAAATTTAATCAAAAACTCAACCAGAACAACAATACTGTGTGCATACATACATGACAACATTAGCAGGTTGTTTTTCATTGCTGAATTCATAGAAATTAATTTGAATCTGCATTAAGTATAAAATAAACCAAATCTGGAGTATTTTCAGTTGTCAAGACTCCATCAGTGTTGCCATAGTACCAACAGATACTAATGATTACACAGGATTAACGAAATTGAAGAGGGCTGATGCGCAGTCCAACTGTGTCTTTACCAACTTCAGCTACCATACATATTGCACACACTGTTCCCTTGAATTGGGGCATGTAACTTGCTCCACATAGTGGGCACTTCTCCTCTGCTTTCCCACGATAGATGGGACGATATGTCCGCCCACAAATTGCAAATGGGTTGTGCTCATCATACTGCAGTTGATGTTCATCTACAAGATTCTTATCACAGGCCTAGAATGAAGGTAAAAGAGATCAGACTCAACTCCATATGAACTTCTGTCCCAAACATAATATGCCACACAAAATAATCAACCATACATACACAAACCACAGTCTACATAAGACAGTACATAATTATGAATGGCCAAAAAAAAAAAACATGAAAAAATTCATAACACAAGTGCAGTGCTCTACTTCATTACATGACAAATTCTGCACAGTATTATTTCACTCCAACCATAAATAGTTAAAAATAATTAGTTCTATGTTAAGGCGAACACACATCAAGACAAAAGAAAAATAAAATTAAAATCAACAAACCATTCTAATATTAAGAAAATTACAGCACCTCTACATGCATATCTCTGTCTTCCCCATATGCACCAGATATACTGGGTGAAATAATTTCAAGCTAGTTGACTGTGAACAATATAGTATATATGAGTAAAAATGATTAAACTTACTTCAATCAAAAAAAGTGATGGACAGGGACACAGTGAAAACCAAAGGAGCACATCATGTCAAAAACCACTATTCTAAAAACTTGTGGTAGTGGTAGATTCATTAAACCAGTATTATTTTGGACAATGTCCACTGTTCTGGAGGTTAGTTCTGGTGGTCCAGTAATTAGCATATTGGCCTAGTATTCAAAAGGTCCTGGGGTTCTACTGCAACTGCTGTCACTTCTTATAAGATATATATAAAAATACAGTGTCTGTATAATGGCAACTAGTCACCTTAAAATGAGAACAGATCCAACTACTTAAACACCAGGTACATCAAATATGCCTCAGACAATGGACAATGCCCAACATCCAACATAATAGTGGTATCATAATTTACAATCATCTTTAATTATGGCAGTGAACCACAAATGCCTGGACTTGAACACCGAGGTTTGGATATAATAACTTTTTGTGATATTGATGGTTCACCATTTTGATGAAGGCAAAATGTGATCAGCTGTTCTGTGTGATGGAAGACCAGTGACACTGTACCCAGTCCTTAGCTGTGACTTCACTTCTGACCTGGCACTTATCTGGAATAAGTCATCTTTGAACTCTGAACATTTTTAGCCATTAATAACCAAACCACTATGTACAATAGCTGAATACAGCATTAAATGTCCTACCTGCAGTATTTTCCTAGCTTGCTGGGCCACTTCCTGGCGAGGACCTTGTTCCAACAAGCGCCGCGCAAATGATGCTGCAGTCTTGTAATTCTTCAGTTTGAAGAAAAGGTTTAATGCTGTGCGGAGAGTAAGGATCTGATGTACAGGCTGGAGGTTGCAGTGTGTAAAATAAGCTGCCATCTCACACAGGCGTTTTTGATCCTCTAAAGTGGCTTTAGGCAATTCCTTTCTTGCTGTCTCCATTTTCAGTCCTACAATTACAGTGAAAACCATACAATGATTATAAATAAACCAGACTGTAAAAGAGTATTCTCACCTTCTTAGATCTTTGTAGCATTATTGTACCTAGGACTGTCAACTACTGAAGAAGAGGACATACACATTAGCACATTTACAGCTGGATAGTTGGAGCCTTCCTACTTATAACAGCCAGCCACTTTGAAGCAGTGCACATTGCAATGTGTATTCTTTAATTTTTATTTTAAATATCTTCTTTGTTCCTGTTCCATTTGAGATGATAAAGCTTAACATTTAAATTTCATACACAGCCATCAGATACTGATATCTATAAATAAATGAACTACATGTGTCCAAATATGCTCTGGTGCAAAAATCAATTTCCTGTGCTGTGGCTGGCTACTGCAAGAGCTACATAAGCAGGAAGCTGCCTTCCCACAAAGAATGTGTCAAAATATGTTAACAAACGCTTCTATAAGGAACTCCTCCACATACAACAAAATTCAGAGTATCCAGTTTTTTTTCCAGATGAGTTATACAGTTTTTTTTTTTGTAAGGAAGCACAGTTTCTTTAATTCAACTTACTGTGTTTCACGTTTGCCAGTTCTTGAGATTATTCAATGCAGGCTACTAGTGCCTACCATCACAAGCAAGCTTCATTATGTGATGTATCAGTTATTAATGTATTGTTTCAGTGCATATCTGAAATGGACTAAACCAATATAAAGCAGTAATGAAAACACGAGAGTAGAGCCAGCTTTATTCTTGTCACGTTCCTTATCATTACAACCACAACCACCCAAAATATGTGAAGTCTTCATTTCTTTAATAATGCTTTATCATGTGCAGATGTTATACAGCATAAAATGAGACAATGACTGTGCATGAATAACTGCAACAGACATAGAAGAGACAATGGCCTATTTAAAAAACTGTCATACCATCTGTTTGAAGCAACTGAGATAAACAATGAAGACCTCAGCTAAGATTGCCAGTCTGGGGGGAAAGCTTGAGCTTAGGACCTCCAGAAGGGTAAAAAGCAAGAGTGCTGACCACTACATTAACATTCACGAGAGATATGTGTGTTTGGATGTAATGTCCACCAAATAACTTTCTCAGTTCTGAATATAAAATTTGCAATAAATGGGTACACAAAAAAATTAGTATGGTAATCTCGACAGATATATAAGTACCTAGAATGTATTCTTTGCAGATATGAAGCAGCTGCTGTGCCTCTGTAATTTCCTGACGAGTTTCTACAACCAGGAGCGTAATGCTCAGAACCAGGGCATGTAACTTCTCAATAGCTTCACTGAACTTCCCACCTGTTGTCAGCTGGTAACAAACCTACAGCAACAAGGAACTGCATAGTACACTTCTACACCATAAGACATCATAATATCATAATACACTTATCAGGTCACTTAATACTCAACAAAAAAGTTTTCTAAAAATTAAATTAAGCCGTCATGTACAGTGGCAGTCAAGTGTCACTAAATTTGGACCAAAATTAGATTTTAAAAATGGATTTTAATACAAAGCTAACAGGCCATGAGAAAATAAAAAACCTCAGTTATGATAATTTAATGATTTGACATAACTGTGCCTGTAAGTATACCACATAAAAAATTCTGAAGTAAAGGAAGAGCTGCCCCTGTGCCTAAGCACTGTACAGTGAAGGCATACAGGAGAAGCCACGGTAAAATTCCATGCATTCTAGATCTCAATACTAGGTGGAAGTGAACAGCAAAATTTACACCCACAGAAAGAGCACTGGAGGCTGAGTGAGCCTCCGGTGATGGAAAGAAAAATCCCTCCTCCTGTTGGGAATCAAATCTATTCATTTTATAGTCTGGGTTATGCCAGATCATACATAAAAATACAAGTAATATTGTCAAAATTGATCAATAAACTATTTTTTAATTAAAATAACTACTTTGTGAGGCAGTAAAATCTTTACTGTCATAAAAAATCATATAATGATAGAAAAAGTTAAACACAAACTCCAAACAAATGAGATGTGATTCCTAAGCATAACAGGATATTGGGGAACCACTAAGGAAAGGAAAGACCATGTGCAGAGAATGGGCACCACAAGAATACCTACAGCATTTTATGAATTATAAACTGACTAGTAAGTAGACACTGGAAATCCTAAAAAGGGTTGGAAATATAAAAAGTAACATATTCTTACTGCTGATACTAAAAAACATCACTATGTTACCTGTAACCTTTGAACCAGGTCTGCCAGTTTGAGACCAATGGCTGGTTTTCCACCTTTAGGACCTGCATCCTTCCAGTTGCGGTGCGGGTAGCAATATAGTGGTGAAAGGGATGGGAGAGCTGTGTATGATGTACGTGAACTAGAAAATATACTGAGAAAAAGTGTACGGTATGGCCTGAAATCCACCACACCAACCTAAAAGAGGAAGTTACCACATTAGTTAAGTCAGTAAGAGTGTGACATTATACATTATCACTCATTTTACCATTGCTTGAAGTAGGTATATTTGCAACATTGTCTTCAAGTTAGATGCTCATATGTCCAGAGACTGTCACACACAACCTGAAGCTCACATGTCATCTGCTGTTATGAGGAAGGGTTATTATCTGTACATGGAAGGAACATGTTAGTCTTACGTGCTACAAGACTGTGCACTGTAAGAGAAAATGAGACTGCAAATGTGTAGATTTTAGAAAACATTAGTTTCCTATTTTCATGTGTCTGTCACTAAAAGTTCAAGAGGGATAGGCTAAAATACTTCACATGAACAAGTGCTCTAGAACATTCTACAGTAAGGATTGTTTTTTTATTGCTAGTGCGGTGGGACTAAGTCCCTTGTACTGCGGCCACTTCTGGCCTACTGTACCAGCCCCATGCGAGGGTGATTGTGGAGCAATTAGTGGAATGAAGATTGGCAGGGGAAACCGAAGTACTCAGAGAAAACCTGCCCCAGTGTCACTTTGTCCACCATAAATCCCACTTGACCAGACCCGGGATCGAACCTGGGCTGCTGCGGTGGGAAGCCAGCGATTAACCGCTTGAGTTATGGCGTGGCCCTACAGTAAGGATACTTCAGGTGAATTGTTCCAAAAAGTATAAATCTGGATTACTTATTTTAAGCTATGAATAAAAAGAATCATACTCTTCTCCTTACAAAACAAAAACTGCTGTCTGGTGGGAAAAGCCTGAAGTTTCAAACCAGAATAGATGTAAACCTCAGTAAATGCTGATTAATATTTAAAACTTTTCATTTACTCTTATCCACAAAGCATATACTTTCAATATCACTAATATTATACATATTGTAACGTGGATGGCGCAACAGGAAGTAGGGGTCATGTGAATTCTGTGGACATCGCATACCCCCACTCCTTCCATCACTACGCAACGCTCGGTAAACACCCCTCCCCGCTAGGCTGTGATGTCACGCAACAGGTGAGTCCGTGCAGCGACTATTGCTAGGCAAACGGTAAACATGGCAATTACGTAACAGGGAAGCAAGGTGCATTTTCCGCTGTCTGGCTGAGGGTTTATAAGAGAAACTGAATGCCTAAGGAGTCCAGTGGAAGTCTAGCATTCGCTGAGTTAGCTGAGCATTAACAGTCAGTTTTTAGCCTTCAGAGAGTAGGAGTATTCAGTATGAGTTGGAAGTCCAGCAGCCACAAGTTGTTGTTAAGTTGTATCAAGTGAATGGATTGAAGACAGTTGAACACAGAAAGTTACTACCGCAGATGGCAGTAATTGGGACACTGTAAATTGTGTAAGTGTAAGAGTGAGTGTGCAATAAATTCACTACATCCAAAACGGCGTGAAGTTATTTGTCACTCATTACAAACACCCAACACATCGCAATATGATTTACAGCCACATGTACTAAAGAGTATCAGAAACGCAACAAATACATCTGAGAACTGGCATGCCCCATACCATATACATACTGTCCTAAGGAGCTAAAGCAAAGACAGTAATTATAACCATTACATGCCTGGAACTGGTATGTATCCTAATTAAATACCAAGGAAAAGTAATATTCAATATTATAATGAAGTCACTGTGTAGCTAGTGTCTATCTGAGGACCAGAACACTACTTACTTGTTCATGAAGCAACCTGAACGCAGACTCAAATGATCCAGCAAGGATATGATCAACAGGTAGCTGTGAGTTGTTCACCCACACCTGCAGCTGAGAGAGTCCCTTTGTTGGTGGAACAAAGTAACCATCATCTGCCCCTGGTACAACTGAATTCTCCAATTCAGGGGGCAGCACCAGATCCTCATCTCCCACATCCCAACCACCACCTGGATCAACAACTGTACATGTAGCAACATCTTAGGTCAAACAGAGTTAATTTTCTCAAGATAAGTTTTCATTTGATAAAACCGAACATTAATGGTATTTAACCAATTTACTGCTACAAACAAATGGTTGATCCTTCTCTGATTATCTTAGTTAAACTAATGAAAACTGTTACATCAGACATAGTGCCTATGGGCATATTCAGACACTGATCAAACATCTTCACCAGTCCAGATATGAAAAAAAGGCAAAGAATATAAAAAACATAAATACATACCACAAGACAGTATTCTTCATAGTCATTGCTGTGAAAACCTCAAATCTTACAAGGATGAGTTTGTTTGAATTTAGTTTTAGAGTTTTGCTTAAATTTATTTAACTCGTGGGTGTAACACAAACTGTCTTGTTCCAAGAACAGCACATATATGCATGAAGGGTATGTTAATTCATGTCTGTTTTTTTAGCAAGTTGCAGCTGCTTTCTTTGCTCTACCATGGCCTCCTACAATACTGTGGCATGCCACCAAAAAGCCGGAATATCTTGGAGACAGAGCGGGTGTTCATTGCTAGACAAAAGTGTGTTAAAACACGTGGCTGGGACAACAAGTTGGAATATACCACTGCTGAGCAACGCTCAGTAAACACTGCCTAAAAGCTGGAATAGTGGAGCTGGACAGGGAGTTGTTCATTTTGCTAGGCAACCATTTATGCATGTTTCACGCGACAATGCATACATAACAGACGTTACAATGGAACTGAAAGCCAGAACTAGTGCAGTTCCCACAGCAACAAATACACCAGCGACTGTTACACAGAACATGTGAAATGGAACCCTTGAAGAAGGTGTCCTTGAGTCCATCCGACGGTAGAATATATGAGATGAGACCAGACCAGATCAGACCAGAGGAGAATTGAGAAGAGGACACAGAACAGATCAGAACAGAGGTGAAAGGAGCTGAGGGCAGAAGAAACCAGCTCAGCTAAGAACCAGAAAAGGACAGACTAGCCAGGTGGCATCATCTGGAAGACATTATTTCAGAGTAATTGTAATTGTAGACAAATTATCCAATAAAACAGCTTCATCAAATCTGGAACCCATTAAGTTCTTTTCCTGTTACCAGGATATGTGTAAATACTTATATATCATACTGATATCTGGCTGATAAATTTGTAACCACTATAAATGTGTAGTGCATTTAAAGAGTTCTGCTTCATTTTGATAAAAATCTGCTGTTGATAAGGTCACTTCCTAGGAAAACATTTCATGACGCAAATGGGTGAATGTATTGATAGTAGTGAATAAATAATATATCTGAGCAGACCCATTAAGACATTAATTAAGCAAAATATTTTTACTTCTACATTTTTCAGTCTGTACATATAAATGTGTCTAAGAAACATATAAACATATTATATTAATAACTTTCACCTTCTGGTTCAGCAGATCCAAGTTCACGTTCCTCGTCTGCACCAAGACCATCTTCATCCAGTCCTAGTTCAGCATCAACTCCCCAGCCTTCTGGGGTGGTGTCCTCTACAGGATTTGGAACCAGTACAGTACTCACTGCACTGTTCTTCCCCCGTGCCATTGCTGCACCCTCAAAGAATCCCTGAGTGGGTTTCAAAATCATAAATACCATCACATTGGTTAATTACTGAATGATGTTGGATCTGAGGTTCTTATAGGAGAAAGGTCTTCTGGCTTGTAATCTGATTAGTGCAGATGGCCTAACATTTTGGAAGAACATATCACCTCCATCTTCAGCATCAAAGAATAAGCCGAGCAAGAAAGCAGCGGAAGGAATTACCACTTGCTTCTGCAGGTTTCTTGCTTGGCTTACTATTTGGCCTTCAAGAGGGGGGTGATATATTCCTCCAAAATGCTGGGTTCTCTCAAAACCACATAGCATTACAGAAGACTGTGATCTGCAATTACTGAATTATTCAATTATGCTGTTTCAACTGCAGATGTTATACAGCATGGAATTAACACTAGAAAATCATCATAAATGTTAGTAAGAAATTGGAACTAGGCCATTGTGGCCTATGTTCTGGTACTATCCCAACAACTAGGGATAACTGACGTTCAATTGCCAGCACAGGAAGGAATCTTTCTCTTTGCCTCAGTCTTTGAGTGGCTTTGCGGCCCACTCACTCTCGTATCCACTGGGTTCTGAGGATACTTTCCTCAGCAGTAAAGTGGCTGAGGCATGGTGCTGACAAATCATCTCCACCTAGTGTTGGAGTTAAGACAAATTGAGCCTTACCTCCATTCATCCATACATTTTCATAGCACGACACTAAGGCACAGAGACGATTTTAATGCTTACCTTCATCCCAACATTTGCTGGAGACAGTAAAATAATAGAAGAGCTTAGTCAGGATAGATGGTAACATGGCACAGGTCTGAACCAAATACCAGGTGGTTCAAATATGATGGGGACTGATTTGTGTGTAAACAAGCCACACTGCGCAGCAACTGTGTGACCTTGAGAGAGTGAAGCCACAACCTCCACCCTCCTCCTGTTCGGGTTAGAACCTGTTCAGTCCTGTCTGGGAGTTGCTAGGATGATGAGCGAACAGAAGGTACTGCAGAGCGTGGAACAACACACTGTGATCAAATTCCTTGGAGAGAACTGAAATTCACCACAGACTCCAACAGCAGTATGGGGAAGAGTCTCTCTCACGGACCCATGTGTTTGAGTGGAGTAAGTGCTTCAGAGAGGGCAGAGAGCGCGTGGGGAATGAACCGCATGATTGTCGGCCGCAAACATCCGTCACTGATCCAAACTTTGATAGTGCAGACGTGCTTATTCGTGAGAGTAGGCATATCACTATCAAGGAACTTGGAGCAATGCTGTCCATCAGTGTTGGTAGTGTAGAAGACATCATGAAATACCACCTGCACTATTGCAAGGTGAATGCACAGTGGGTACCATGCACTTTGACGGACGTGAACAAAATGGTGTGCATGCAAGCTGCCAGTCGTCTCCTACAGCAGTTTGAAGATGAAGGTGATGCATTTTTTAAGTCTACAGTGACCCCAGCAATCATTACACGAGTGGCAGCATCCCAGTTCTCCCAAACCCAAGAGAGCACGGAAGAGCCGTTCGGCAGGAAAACTGATGGCAACGTTCTTCTGGGACTGGCAGGGGGTTATCCATGCAGACTTTCTGACAGATGCCAGAACAGTCAATGCAGCTTATTACTCAGACCTCCTGGCAACAGATGTGAAGGACAAGATCCGATCCAAGTGGAAGACACGTGGAAAGCGGGTAGCCTTCCTTCCAAGACAATGCACGCCCCCATACGGCCAAAACAAGAATGGCAACCCTCCAGAAATTGAAACTGAACCTTCTGACACATCCGCCGTACAGTCCTGATTTGGCCCCAAGTGATTTCCACTTGTTCGGAAGGCTCAAATCAGACTTGCAAGGCACACATTTTGTGGACGATGACGCCGTCATCCAGACTGTTTGGGAGTGGATACGCCGCCAACCACAAGCCTTTTTTGAAAAGGGCACCAGGATACTTCCAGAACACTGGAAAAAATGTGTTGTCTCCAGAGGGGAGTATGTTGAAGACTGACATGTGCAAGTAAGTGTTTGGCAATTAGGGTTTTTAAAAAAATCAGTCCTGGTCATATTTGAACCACCTTGTACATACCACTATATATGCCTGCATGTAACTTGGGGGTGTGGCTTTTGATATGCAATGGCAAACAAATGTCATGTGCTCATTCAGAACAAATAAATGTACATCACTATATGGAGGTTCTCCTGCAATTTATACTAGCAGCATACAACTTCTTTTGGTGAAATTGAAGTGTTTCTTTAGAGTATTTTGTGGAGTGTTATTTTCAGTCACATTTTATTGTAATTTTGAAAATTGAAGGCAAGGAGAACAAGTTTCAAGTCTTACATAAGATCCAGAGATGTAGTTTTAAGGCAATTTCAAATGGGAATCAGACAGTGATCACTTAGTTCATGATGATGCCAAGCATCAGGACTGCATGACTGATGTCTGGAAATGCCAGACTGAGTAGCACTGTTTAACTTACAGGCAATGAAGGAAAATCCTGGTTTAATACAAAATCCTCCTACCACAAACAGCAAAAACTGTGAAAATATCAGCACGGCTGTCTAGCAGAAATGCTTCACCTGTGAAGAACTGTTGCAGTTTGTGATAATATATATCACACAATAAAGATCATAAACTGGATGGCATTGCAAAAAGTCACAGAGTTTATCACAGCAAATACAATGCCCCTAAACTCATATGTGAAACTGTATGCTGCCAAAGGAAATAACACTTTTAAAACTGGGGACATCCAGAGAATATACTCTCCTGATCCACAGACAGCACTGATGCTACAATTTGGAAATACTGTGTCTGATGTGTGGGGAGCCTCCAGGAAGAGGATTTTGCAGGGGGAGCGGGGGAAGTATAGGACAAAGCCATGAACTGATTGTCAACCTGATGATACCAGATTCAGATGGTTCAGACAGTGGCAAAACGTCTACTCAATACAAGGTAATAAATGCCACCTGTCAAATCATATGAATAATGACAATCATGTAATTAAATGTTCAACAGCATGTGATGCAAATAAATCATAATACAAAATATATGGCAATGTCACAACTTTGTGGTTCTGTCCTGTTTGACAAGGTGATATGACATGTTATGTGCAGGCTCATATGTACTACAGCAACCTGCTTACTACCTCCACATTTCCAATCTATGTAACGTGGAGCATCACATGGTTCACACTACATAATAAAATCAATTATGAAAAATGTGTACCTTTGATACTGTAAGAAGGGGCCAGTTCGTCTCTGCCTGCATTACTGGTACAGGGGGTTTGAGAAGCTTGGCATTTGGTCTTACAGGTGGAATGTTAGTCTCTTTCACTGTGGACTGTGGGTCTGAAAGTCCATGCACCTCTGCAGTCAGATAACTTAGTGAGTGCTGGTCACAATTCTAAAATAAAAATAAAAAGAAACTTCCAATTCATCAGCACTACCAACAAATGTGTAACAAACAGCATAAGCACACACAAATACACATATTTATATGTGTAACATTGGCAGCCTGATTGTGACAAAAATTTCAGTAATACAATAATTCTATATAATTTTGTCTTGCCTCCCTCACCCATGAAATATTCTGCAGTCTAGGAGAAAGTGCTAGTCTTCACTTCCGAAGATTTCAAGTTCAATACTTGTTGGATCTAATATAGACTTTTCTGCTGACTTTCCATTTCCTTAACTCTGACAAGACAAAATTTCATGTGTATCAGGCCTCACTATGGTCTAGAGCCCATATTAAGCTGTAAATCCTGTTAACAGGTCATCATTACTGCTGCAATATTTGGAACTATACTCCATAAGCTGAATCTATACCAATATAACACAGCTTATACTGAACATGAGAGATTTTACAATAATGTACAAATGTCAGGAGTCAGTAATTCTTGTCACAGGCATAATCAATGGGCAACAGAAACATCTTCCCCTATTGGTTGCATGAAGAGTGTTGTCTGCATGAAACATAAACATTTACTTCTCAGGATTACTGGGTTTTTGGACTCTGTTCATTGTCTGGTGTTCCAAAAAAAAATACAAAAGAATACAATTCTTCAGAAACTGGGTGTGTTTCTGTCCTCAGGTGAGGAGTAGAAGACACCTGCTCTGTTGGGTCCATCAGAAAGAGCTAACCTCAATCACTGATTGGTTAGCCCTTTCTATCAGACCCAACAGAGTAGGTGTCTCCCAGCCCTCACCTAAGGCCAGAAACACATCCAGTTTACAAAACGTTGGGTACTTTTGTGTTTCTTAGAATACCAGATGATGGGAAAAGTCAAAACCCCAGTAATCTTGAGTGTTATATGCAATCATCAGAACCCTTTAGAGATACTTGTGAAGAATTTACTGCACTGATATTAGTTTTCTTAAGATTCATTTTCACCAATGAAACATTACAAAGGCATAGCCACACAATATATATTTTCCATCATATTTCATAAAATGGGTTAAAGATGAGAAACATGGACAATGTAGATTACCGTATTTACGCATGTATAGGCCGCATATTTTTTGCCAAAAATTCAAGAGGAAAACTGGGGTGTGGCTTATATTCGAAATATTCGAAATCACACTTCATTTAAAAAAAAATATATTCATAATTAGTAATACAGGGTGTTCAAAGATCGAGGAAACCGGGGCAGCAGCGTAGAGCAGATGGAACGTTTCTCCGCGACTACTGTGCCCCTCCCCGCTAGCGAGAGTGCAGTCGTGTCGCTGATACCCTTACATCAGTTTCTGTACATGCACACATTTATAAGAATACTGTAAAAAGATAACACAAACTTACCGTGCTTTATAACAGGTGCTGAAAGTGACCCCCTTCTGCTTGCAAACATGCTTTGCATCGCATGAATAAATTATGCGACACTTTCTGAAGTTGGTCCACGGTAATTGAACCATATTACTGTTCATCGCTTGACTCGTTGCTGTCGATGTCGCTCTCGCTCGAAGTTTCGCTGTCAGGTGATGTCAGCCATACAGCGTCATCTTCAGTCCCGTCCATTGCGTTGGAAATGGATGTGACTTTAAAACTTTTGGAAACCATTTCTTCTGGTATGGTGTTCCATGCAGCCACAATCCACTCACACATTTGACTTAATGAAGGTTTCTTCAATCGTCCAGTCGGCGTCATCTCCGTGGAACCGCATCTCCAGTCCCGGTAAAAGCGCCGCAAATGAGACTTGAAAGGACGGTTTATTGACACGTCAAGTGGTTGTAACATGCCAGTCATCCCCCCTGGTATCACAACCATATCACTTTTCTCCTGCCTCATCTTCACTTTCACATTTTCAGTTAAATGGCTTCGAAAACTGTCAACCACTAACATTGACCGCTGACGTAAAAGTGCGCCTGGGCGCCGAAACCACACTGATTTCAACCAATCCAGATAGAGCTCTTCTGTCATCCATCCTTTTTCTTGAACTCTCACCAAAATTCCCGGTGGAAGCTTTTCTTTCGGCAATGTTTTGCGTTTGAAGATTACAAATGGTGGTAGTTTGTTTCCATCAGCAGTGATACCAAGCATTACGGTACACCGCTGCTTTTCTGCTCCTGCAGTCCGCACATGCACTGTTTTTTCGCCTGCTTTGTTCACTGTACTTTCACCCGGCATTTCAAAGAACACAGGAGTTTCATCAACATTTCCAATAGCTCCCATGGTGTAGTTGTGCGTCTTTCTTAATTTCAGGACATGTTTTTGAAATGCAAGCAGTTTCTCCTGGTATGTGTCGGGAAGGCGCTGCGCTATTGACGTCCGTCGCCGAATTACAAGATCATGTCGGGCCATAAAGCGCCTTGCCCATCCATAACTTCCCTTAAATTCATTACGAGGAATTTTCATTCTGTCCGCTATTTTGAGGCCTTCAAATTGAATCATTTCCACAGACACTGAAAATCCATCCGCCCGTGTATTACGCACATATCGCAAAAGTTTATTTTGAAGTTCTGGAAATTTAGCTTTCTTTCCGCGGAAAGATTGTCGATTTTGTGACGTTTTTTCAAGGGCATCTTTTGTTAGTATCATCTTCGCACATTTTTTTCGTCAACGTCGAATTTTCTCCCTGCTGCTCGATTTCCGTGTTCTTGTGCGTAACGCACCACTTGAAGTTTAAATTTAGACGTATAACCTGCTCTTACTCGACCCATGTTTCACTCAGAACTAACCAGGCAAGTCAAGTAAAGGCGAAAATGTTATAACTCTCCCCCGCAATGCCTTTGTTCCGAGCGGTACCATTATTTTCGCTAGTTGCGAACTTAGGAATGTTAAACATTGCCAAATTTTGGAATAATTTCTACTCCTGAAATAATATTCCAAGAAAATTATTTTTTCTATAATTTCTGTCTGAAAATTGTGCTGCGGCCTATACACGCAAGCGGCCTATACATGCGTAAATACGGTATGTTCTGTTGCATTTTATATTGTTTCATGGTTGTACAACACACATGTAGCAACAATATACAATTTATTTTCCCATTAGTGTATTGTCATTAATTCCATCAATCCTACATCTTTCCAAACTAAAATACGGTTCTTCTCATTTTCCCCATGTTTGCTACATGTTTGTATACTTACCCAAACAACAGTATGGAGGCTACAACTGTTGATGTGCCTCATGTAATAATGTCTTACAATTACATGGCTATGACTCACAAATGGAATTTCTGTGTTAAGGAAAAATTAAGGTGTAAATCTCAGAGCAAAAAATTAATTCTTTTCCTTAGGCTTGGAGGTTGAACTCTGTATTGTGACACCAAGTACCAAAATCTGACATTGTAGAATCATGAAATTTATCAGAAGCACACTCACCCCCAGAATTTTTACTCTTTCCGACACATTACCCAGGAACAAGGCTCCCTGATATTGGCCGGATATGTCCTTCCTTATTTCTGCAATCCTCATCATCTTGCGCAGCTTATCCAAATTCCCCGTTATTAGGTACAAGAATGAAAGCTTGTCAAAGTTCTTTGTTCGCTGGTAGCACATTTCTACAACCTAAGAAAAGGATTTAAATGTTTTAATAATATTTCACACAATATACATACAAGTAGAGCATTTAGATTTCAATATGTACAAGCTGATACTGAATTATATTACATGCATGAAAAAAGTTCAAATGCTGAACCTTTCTCAGACATAATGTGTGTTGTAAGATTTGACGTTTTCATGGCGGTAACTATGAAGAAATCAGTCTTCTGGGATCTGGTACCGTGTAGATGTGGTGTTAACCGACATTTAGGAGGAACGTATCGCCTCCATCTTCAGGGTAGACTAAGCAGACTAAGTCTGCTTGCACCTGCTCCCACTGTTTCTTTGCTTGCACATTTTCTTTTCTTTCCTTCTACCCTGAAGATGGAGGCGATATGTTCCTCCAAAACGTCGGTTAACACATTTACATGGCGCCACATCCCAGAAGACTGCTTTCTTCATGACGTGTGTTGCTTGCACTTAAAACTACAAAGGAATGCGTACTTCCAATGTCCATTCATACAACAGAAAAGATCCTGATTTTTCTGAATTAATCTGTTATTGGATTTAAAGTTGCAGCTTTTACTAAAATGTCACTGACAAAAAAGTTTGTTACACACTGGCCAATTTGTAAGTACTAATTCACAAAAAACACAAGTTTGCTCTTGGGAGAACTGAGATTTATTTACCAAGTTTAATTAAATTCATTACAGATAGAAGTTTGGATCACCATCTGCCAGTTGCACTGAAGGTAAGTACTGTACCATGCCTTGGGTAAACCTTAAGTAGGCAAGTCTTGGGTACTGAATACTGACTTGGGGAGGGGGGGGGGCACAACCTCCAGTCTCCCCAATCATTCAGACCTCTGCTGGGTCCACTATGAACTCTTGTTTCCATTAAGACCCTTCAAAGCAGCCCTGTCCTCAATGCTAGAGCCAGAACCTCTTTGACCAAGGATCTACTAATATCTATTGGCTATACTCATGCAGAGGGGCACACGGTAGCGTAGTTGGTTAAGGGGCTATGCGGGTTCAAGTCCCAATGAGGTCACTGGATTTTTTTCAGTTGACCTAATCCTTCCAGCCACACTAGGCCCTGGGGTTTACTCAGCCTCTAACAGAAATGAGTACCAGGAATTAATTAAATAATTTTCCTGGGGAGTAAAGCGTGGCTGGCGCGTAAGGCTGACAACCTTACCGCCATCTTTGAGCCGATTGTCTAGTGTGGGACCCTCAACATCTCACAACCCTATGGGCCTTACTTTTACTTATACTCATGCAGAGCTCAAGAGCTTCATACTATGACCAGACAAAGAAGGAAGTCTTCCTTTACGATTTCATGACATTGCCAAATAAGAGAAGCTGAAGACCAATGCCCCATGACAGTAAATAGATTGTCTAACTTGCAGGTCTATTTTCTAAGCAACCGACATTCTAAGCTTTTTCCTTAGGGCAGACCACCTGATGAATGTAACTTGAAATCCAATATACAGGCTTCTTCCTCCAAGTGTGATTTATCACTGGGTTGAAGTGCTTCATAACATTAAATAAATATATATTGAGGGGAGAAATAAAACCACATTTGAGAACAGATACACACTTCAATGTTTCTAAATTAATGTGTTCATCATGACTGGCAAGCTCTATCCATGGCTACAAATAAATACTGTTCTGTCATACACAAACTCATCAAAACTTACTTGATGATTTCCCTGCATTAGGGCAGCCTGTCCCAGCCTTTCCCAACAGGCTTTGTCATCAAGGGCCCGCGCAGCTTCCAGAGCAACTTCAATGTTGCCACATTCAAGAGCAAGACTGAAACGGGTCTTTTCTTCCTTCACAAAATGCAAAGCTACTTCTGGGTAACCCTTCTGCTGCAGGTACGCAATAATGGACTGTCCCACCAGACGAGCATTACGTACCATATGAAGCACCTAGAAATGATAAACCCCTTATGTATTCAGTTTTGATTACAGATACATATTACTCAGCAGGAAAAGCAAATTTATTTACTAACATATGTGTGCAGTTTAAGAATACTAATCAACAGATTATTTGCATGTCAAGGTCCTCTTTGCATTTAGCATTTTTACATTTCATCATCAATTATTTTAATTTACAGCTTTTGATACGAAGAGGAGAACAGAGTATATTAAAACTAGAAATATGTATTTTTCTCAATTTCACTTAAAAATAGAATGTCCAATGACTTACTTCATCATATTTACGATTAATGAGTGCCAATTTGAACTTGAATTCTGTAGGATCAATGCTGAGAATGCGTGGCTTGCACTCACGGTCCAGACAGAATACCTGGTTGCCCTTCACACGTGTGATGTATATTGGAAGATCCAGTGTGCGGATTATTCCGTGATCTCTGTCAGCAAACAAGAACACATCCAATTCATACCCTTACTAAATTCTCTGACGAATGTTCAGACAACCATTTCATGGAATACTATCTCTCCTTACTACATCAATATATCTGTACAATTATTCAGTTAAAAGAAATACAGTTTGTCACATGAAAATAATCTGATTTTCTGCTGGATGAGTAATAATTATGAATCTGAAGCTAGGATTATGGATGCATTATGATTATATAATATTCTTATACAGTGTGTCCAGTGCTTTAAAGGCAAATATTAGGACAGAATTTTTGTTTTGTGATTTGTTTAATGATGATGCCTTGAGATTTATTTTTCAGTGCTGTCAGTACCTGAGACTATATACCACTGAATGGTAGAATGGCAGAAGAATTTGTAAGGGTATACAGAGTGTCCCAGGAGGAAAGGTCAATATTCAGGAAGGTCAGAGTACTGGGCATTCTAAACAAGAATGTGTATATATGTACTTGCATCCTATTCTGAATGGTCTCTGACAGAGCTATTTCACTGTACAGTAGTTTGGATTTGGCACCCAATATTGTCCTTCCTTCCCACTGTACTCTTCCACTGTTTAAAGCATGTGAATTGGTGTAAAGCATCAGCTGGCCGTTGTGACTGTTGACAGTGACATTTTAGGAATGTTGTGAAAAAATTCCAACATCTTCACAGATGCTAAATATGCTGTATGCTGTATGCTTATGGTTTCTGCATTGGTAGTGCCACTGCTTCTGTTAGAGAATACTGTCGATGGTTTCTTATGCGCAGAATTCTGGATCACAGGGTGTTTTTCAAGGTGTTCAATACATTACGTGAACGTGGTATGCTTCCCAGTGCTCATGTTCCATCTGAATGAGCATGTCAACAACATGTGGAGGAACATGGAAACATTCTTTAAATGGTACAGCGTAGCCCTACTACTAGCACACAAAGACTTTCTACACGTCTTGGTGTTTCATAAATACATGTATGGTGAACACTGCATGTCTCACCAATAGCGTGTGCAAAATCTATACTCAGGGGACAGTGCCATGCATCTAGAATTTTGTCATTGGTTACATAGTAATCACCAATTGCTTCCATTAATACTATTCACTGGTAAAGCTACTTTCAACCATAATGTAATCAACAACACTTGTGTAACTCGCATCGATGGTCTCAAAGACAATCCACATGGTACTGTGGAAACAAATTTTCAACATAGTTTCCATATCAATGTGTGATGAGGTATGATGGATGACGTGCTGACTGGTCCCATTATTTTAGATAATCATATGACGGGACATAATTACCTGGACTTTCTGCAAAATGGATTACCAGAATAACTAGATGATGTTCCTTTGGCTACACAGGTTGCTATGTACTTTCAGCATGACAGAGCCCCTTCTCATTATACCCGATTTGTTATACACCTCAATGACACTTTCCATTATCGGTGGATCAGTCATGGAAATACCATTAATTTGCCATCAAGCTCTCTGTACCTAACCCCGTTAGATTTTTGCTTATGGGGCTGGATGAAGAGTAAAGTGTACAGAAGAAAAGTGGGTACACAAGACAAACTGCTTGATCACAGAATGGATGTTATCACCTGCATTAGAGAATCTCAAGATGCACTCAAACACTTAACATGCCATGTCCTCACACGAGTTGCAAAGTGCAATGATGTTGACGGTGGAATTTTCGAAAATATATTATACCAGGTGAACTGTAGCAACTTTTTCAGTTGAACAATAAATACCAGTATTAGAAACAGTACATATCTCTTTCTTATCAACAGTTTTGGAATTGTACAGTGAAATAGCTTTACCTTGGAAACCATTCAGAATAGGACACATATGTACACACTTTTTTTTTTGTTTAGAATGACTGATACTATGACCTCCCAGATAACCAACCTTTCCTCCTGGGAAGCTGCCATGGCCTAACTGAGGTACAGTCGTGGCAGGAGGCTGCAGAGACTGACAACAGCCATGAAAACCTCAGCCAGATTAGCTGACATCCCAGCTGAGATCTAAGCTCAGCTCCTCCCAAATACAAGTCAGAAGCATTACCACCAATGCCAATTCAGTGGGACAGGAATTTTATGTCAATAACAATGTTACATAATCTTACAGATTCTGAACATAGTTACTTCCCAACACATTTCATTATCCAAGCATTCGAATTCTGTACTACAGAAATGTTCTATATGCATGCCTACATAGGAAATTTTTCATTGTTCATTACTGTTAGAAAACTGAATCTCAAAGTGAAGAATAAGGGGTAGGAAATGGGACGAGTAAAGCAAACAAAACATACATTTAATGAACTTATGTCCCATGCTAACAAAAAATGCTCCTCCCTAAAAATGTACTTATTCCTGGTTACTTTTATCCAAAATGGATATATATAATATAACAACATTTTAACCTGTATTATCACTTTGAAGTTAAAAGAACTGGCTTAAATTTCACATCTCAACAACTCTAAGAAGAAAATAAATGACACCTGCAACAGTATTTGTTATGATCAGAAAATGTTGACTTCTAGGAGGAAAGAGCGCTGCAATCATATGCAATAATGCTTGGTTGTCTAGTATGAAACAAGAGTAAATATAATATCTTGGGAAGCATGGAATTACTGATCTGTTTAGGAACAAAAAATAAAATATCAGTCATCCTTAACTCAAAGTACATTGTTACATAAAATTATATATGTCTAGACTGACAAATCTGCATAACGAAAAGATAAACGAAACATTTGTACCTGCTGCTAAATCTGATATTTCCTTACAGATACCTGTGCACAGAGAGGTCATAGCATATATAATAGATCAATTTTATTTTACTATTTTACCAAAATCAGAGAGTGTAATTCACATATTGTTAGTCATGAACTGCAAGAGTTATTTAGCAATCATTAATTGGTGGAAGCAGTTTTAGCACATCTAAAAGCACTAGCCTAGCATTTCATTAGAAGGAATATGTAAAATCACAAAACACTTAAGACAGAGTAACCTGGCTTCCAGATGACATGCAAAGCAATTAACACCCAAGTGCAAGTCACATCACCAAGTTCACCTTCCTCAATCCACCTCCTTTTTCCATCAAGTCTTTCTTAATGAAAGGTTCATAACATAGAACACAAAGAAAGTTTAATGTATACGCTAAGTTTTAAATCTCTGTTTCATATTGTAACGTGTTTTGTTACTGAATACGCCGTAGAGATCGCTAATTGGTCAATTGAACAATCTACAAATATCGGCTACAATTAATTATCACAATGTTACGGGTTTCCACACTTTACAAACCCTACAACAAAATCTCTTAACACTATCTTCAAGAGTCTTCCCGTATTAATAACGCGGGAGCTATACAAGTCTCCCTGAATTACACACTCCAAATATAACTGGTTATCGCACACGCGTCTGTAGCTCGTAACTTGCGAACTGAGAACTCGTTGATAACGCACTGACTCTCGCTTGCTGCTCAGCCAGCTTTTATTCCGTTCGCTGTTGCTAGTTGTGACGTGGCGTATAGCCTAGCAACGCTGTTACCCCTTGGTGACGTCACCGCTGTTGACTCGCGATGCATAGCTTCAAGGTTGCAGGGACTCGGCTAACTTCGGCTCCGCTCGGCTCACTTCGGCTCCGCTCATGACATCACCGCAGGGAGAGTGGCGGGGGGGGGGGNCGAGCGCTACGTTACCGCTACGTGCCGCTAGGGAGGTAGGGGTCAACATGTCACAATATAATAATGAACTACTACTTCTAATCAAAGACTACTATTTTCATTACTTGAATGATTTTGTGTGAAGAATTGGAGAATGAAGGATTTAAATCATAATTGGTTTAAATTAAGTGTTCATATAAAATGTACTTACCCATTGGAGATGGCATATTTGATGTGATTGCTTGTAGTGTAAATGAAAACTCCACTATCATCCCAAGCTCCTGACTTCACACGTGTGTTCTCATGAATTGAGCAGAGCGATTCAAGTCGACGGTTGCAGATGTTGACAGTATGTTTAGCTAATAGAGCTACATGAGACATGTCAGCTGACCACACAACATACCGACATTTGCCAATCTTCACCTGTGCTAGAGTTCTGAGGAAACAAACTTCCATTTAAAATTTATAATTATTGTTTAAAAAATGTATGTGGTATAATGCAGTTTGCCATTAGTAGGACAGTGCAGTAAATTGGAACAAGGGACGACTGGAATTTTAATTGTCATAATTTGCTGATATCCTGCACTGGTTACCTTAAGAAAATATCTCCTCCTTTAGTGATACATACCACTACGAAGCCAATGCATTTGGGTCAAGCAGTGCAGTAACATGGGTTCTACAATGCATATTCTTTAAGATCATGCTCCAGAACTGTATCAAATGGCTTCACAGTATCACGTGCAGCACATCCATCTATAAAACTCACAAAAAGTTATTCACTTTAAAAGTTTTACATGTCATATAGATTTTAACTTATTAAAAGTTATTCACTATATGTTTCAACCTATAATGTCATCATCAGGTGTTTTAAAATGATAAATTATAATTATAAAAATAAAACATCTGATGATGACCTTATAGGTTAAAATATAAGGGGCAGTCAAATTAAAACAGGTCACCACGCATAACACACGCGCACAAGTTGGTAACACTGGAATCTGCTTACAGTATGAACATCTGGTGTGGACTTGGGGAAAGCAGTGACGTGCTCTTGCACACTAGTCGTTTGTTTATTGTGCTGTAAGTAAGGTTAGCGCTACATGTGGTCATCCAACATCAGTAATGGAGGCAGGTAAAGAAGAACTGTGAAGTGTAGTGCACTTTTTGACTGCTGAAGGAGTAGGAGGATGAGAAGTTCATTGTTGCATTTATGTTGTTTACAGCGAACACAGCATGTCACGTTCGCATGTGCTGGCGTGGCATAAGAGATTCCGAGAGGGATGTGTGTCACTGCAAGATGATGGTTGCCCAGGACAGGCTCATCATGTCACTCCTGATGTTACTGCTGCGTTGGATGGTCATATTCAGGCAAACCAACGGATCACTGTGGAAGAAATTAGTCTTTTGATGGGAATAAGTCATGGTTCTGTACACGCCATTGTGACAAAACACCTGCTGTACCACAAAACCTGCGCACAGTGGGTTCCGCATCAACTCATGGAGGAACAGAAGACTGCATCACTGAGTCACTTGCAACAATACCATGAGGAAGAGTATGCTTTTCTGTCCCATATTGCCACTGGGGACGAAACTTGGTGCCACCATTTTGAACCTGAGTACAAATGGCAGAGCCAACAGTGGAAACACATAAATTCTCCCCCACCGAATAAATTCAAAGCCGTACACACAAGTTCCGGTAAAGTGATGATGACGTTCTTCTTCGACTGCAAAGGCCCTCTGCTTGTCGAATTCTTGAGCATGGGGCCACAATCAGTGCACGGCGCTATGAAGACTCTTTGCAGAAACTGCGACGCGCCATAAAGTCAAAATGCCGTGGAATGCTACTGAACGGCAGTATCCTTCTTCATGATAATGTGCGCCCCCACACTGCCAACTCTGTGAGGNTACAAATGGCAGAGCCAACAGTGGAAACACATAAATTCTCCCCCACCGAATAAATTCAAAGCCGTACACACAAGTTCCGGTAAAGTGATGATGACATTCTTCTTCGACTGCAAAGGCCCTCTGCTTGTCGAATTCTTGAGCATGGGGCCACAATCAGTGCACGGCGCTATGAAGACTCTTTGCAGAAACTGCGACGCGCCATAAAGTCAAAATGTCGTGGAATGCTACTGAACGGCATGATCCTTCTTCATGATAATGTGCGCCCCCACACTGCCAACTCTGTGAGGAATACACTAAGGAGATTTGGTTGGGAAGTGCTTCAACATCCTCCCTACAGCCCAGATCTCTCCCCATATGATTCTCACATTTTTGGAGACTTGAAGAGAGACATTTGTGGACATCGGTTTGCATCAGATGAAGCCGTGTGGGGCTGGGTAAAGATGTGGTTCCGTAGACAGCCCAAAAGGTTTTTAAGGATGGGATTGACTGTCTTATCTCTAAGTGGGATAAATGTATTAACAGTTTTGGAGATTACTTTTGAGGTAAGAAATGTTCTTTAATATGTTTCGGCTTCTGACCTGTTTTCATTTGACTGTCCCTCATATATAATGAATAACTTATAATAAGTTAAAATCTATATGATGTGTAAAACATTTTAAGTGAATAATTTTTAGTAAGTTTTATGGAAAGACTGTAAAACCATTCGATACTAAGTGAAGTGCAGCAAAATGCTACAATATAATATTGTCCAGAAATGTGCATAACAGACTTATGCTGATGCTGTTTCAAGGGATGCATGTATTCAGATTGTAACTCAAATATTTAATTGTGAACTACTGTAATTTTCAGTTCAGGAGAAACAAAGAAAATTACTGAAACCCACAACGTAATGTGGAACACATGGAAAGGTCTCCAGTCATAATAAGAGTCAGAAACGTACTCCAATGACAAACTGGTAAGCAAATATCCATGTGGTTATGCTTTATTTTAAAGTACAATGGTGGGATTTAACTGTAGAAGTAAATAAAATCCATGACAAGTTTCAGTCATGATAGTAGCAAGCCACTGGCTAACATTCAACCTAGGTCCCTTTGAAGTATGAGACAGAATGCTGTGTGGCAATAAAACAAATATAACTCACCTCTTCTGTTGAACATCAAACAAGGTTACTCCATCTGAATCTCTCAGCAGTAGCATTCCTGTTCCAGCATAGAAAATTTCATCACAGTTTGGAGTCTGAACTTTTTTAGTCACTTCATTTTTCAGATTTTTTATCATCAACTGGAAATGTGAATATATATGATACTCAGTCTCGTTTTATATTTACTTTTCATGTAGTTCAGATTTTCATATTTTTCCATAACAAAAGTTGGTGGAACTCCTTTCAAACAGTATGTGAAAACTGTACAAACTGATATGTTTAAATTTCAAAGGGACTGGCTGCCTATTTATTTATAATACTTATTAAAAACAAGTAAAATGTATTATTTATAGTACAATCATGATGTAGTGAATATGGCTTATACAACACAACTTCAGTGGAGTGAAAAAATCATTAGCACCATTAATTTCTTAACACAGCATATACAAAAAAAGTTGCATAAAAAAAGGATGTTGTTCTAGAAATTTCGTCAATATGAGTGATTACTAAAGAGTCACGTTTATCTATAACTTTCTGCACTGACTAAAGCTGCAGTTTTGCTTCCCAAACTACAAACTGTACTTCCAGAGTTTCATTACATGCTATGTTATGCCCCAAATCATGTGGGTAGCAAGACATGACTTTAGGAATGAGAATCGACTGCCATCCTCGAAACACTAAAAGTACTATAATGAAACAATCATGTCATATATAAATTCCTTTCTCAAAGTAAATAAATAATATGCTTAAATTACTTCCATCAATAAATTGAAAATACATTTTAATTTTGGAAAGAGAATTCTGATAGTGAGGGGTGCTTTACTGTTAAGACTAAATATACTGAAGTACTACAATATATGTAATTTTACAATATACTCTCTATGCAGCACTCCATGCAGGTTACTAATTAAAGAAGGAACAACTGGCCCTGGGGTCAACTCAGCATTTAAAAAAACAAGTACCAGGAATCCTCCTGGTGGTAGAGGGAGGCCAGTGCATAAGGCTGACAACCTCACTGCCATCTGTGAGCCAACTATCTAGAAAATGTGGGAGCCTCAACATCTCACAACTCCATGGGCTGCTATAGCCCGTTACAAGGATAGTTTTACCTTTTCTTCCTTTTTTAACAATATGATGTTTCAGATTTCAAGAAATTACATGATGACTAATACATCTATAATAAAAATAATGTAGCTAGTTGCATCAAATTTTGAATGCATACATAAATTATTTCTCTTTGTATTTTGTGCAATATCAAAAGAATGTTTCAAGTAAAACTTGTTTATCATTATGAGGGGAGTTGGGATAGCTCAGTTGGTATAGTGATGGACTGGACAGCTGGGGTGAAATTCCTGGCAGAGGCAACATTTTTCTTTTCTCCAAAACATCCCGACTGGCTCTGGGGCTCACCGAGCCTCCTGCCCAATGGGTCATGGGGGTGATTTCCCCATAGGTAAAGCAGCCAGGATGTGAAGCTAACCATTCACCTGGACATTTTGTTTTGTAGTTCATTTAATAACACTCTCAATAACTCTGACTATACAGCATCAAATCATTGGATGACAGTGAATAATGAGTTTGCAAGATGTGGAAAGATGTGGTCAGGTCTAATATAAGGTGCTAGCTGACATTTACCAGGACAGACTGTGACAAACCACAAAAAAAAGTAAAGATAGTCTGTATCCCAGCCAAGATGTGAATCAGGCAACTACCAAATATAAGTTGAAGTGTTACCACTCAAGTTAACTTGATTGGTGTTTCAGACATTAAACAGGTTGACAAACGCTATATCCACATTATGCACTGTGTGCAAAGAATGCATAACAAACTATCATACCGAATGCGTGCGGTCTAGAACTGCAAAGCGATTCCTTGCTACCCATATGGCTGTAACGCCTGAGGAACGCTTGCTTTCTGGAGATTCAGGATTTTGGCTGTCTGAGTCTTTGGGAATGCCATACAGGTCGTATGAGCTGTTCTCCACATTACTGGTCCTTGTACACAATAAAACAGAGTTCTCTGCTGGATTGTACGACATACTGCAACAAACAAATATCATCACCAGTAAGAGATTTCAAAACTGTCTCCAGAATATAAATCACTCGTCCAATGTGACCTCTAAGTTTATTACTACATGAAAAACTTAACACCCTTACATGTTTCGGTCTCTGCGGACCATCTTCAGAGGGCAAACATCACTACAAATAGGAAACCACCTTCACATAAGTTGTTTAGACGTAAAGTACGTACACTTATATGTTACAATGCATAGTACACAAAATAGAACATTTCACAAACACAGCAGTTTCCTGGAAATGTAAAGTTTTTAAAAATTATTTAAAATTTNTACGTACTTTACATCTAAACAACTTATGTGAAGGTGGTTTCCTATTTGTAGTGATGTTTGCCCTCTGAAAATGATCCGCAGAGACTGAAACATGTAAGGGTGTTAAGTTTTTCATGTAGTAATAAACTTAGAGGTCACATTGGACGGAGTGATTTATATTCGTGATTGTTAGTGTAACGGACCAGAATGAAACAAATCAAATCTGTCTCCAGAATCTTAAGGTTTACAAAATCACAAATTCTTTAATTCTCTACAGAAAATATCTTCCATTAATGATGTCTAATTACAACTACCATCTCATTATGATATTTATAATTATACTTGTTAAGTGCTTTGCTGCCTATAATGTTTACATACTGTCACAAGGAGGAGTGTGACTCTAGATGGGGTTTGGACTGGAGATTGGATTTATTGACCACTTCAACACAAGCCTTGTGACCATACTTAAATATGGTGCCATTGTTAATTTCCACATTTTCAAATCACTCCAGCGCGCACTAAGTCTTTTCAGTCTTCTGTGTCTTCACCAGTTATTCCTTGGTAAAGGCTTTTAACAGTGGGGATCCTTCAGTTTCCATGCTCACTTCATTGCCCACTTGCTCTCAATTGCAGCGACTAAGTCTTACTTTCACTAGCTCCCTTTAAACACTCTCTGAACTCATGAGACAATTGTCCTCCTTATAACATCTTGGCATGAACCATGTAAAAAACATCAATCATTGCTGTAAGCTGGAAGGTCATGGTTCAACTCCCAATGAGGTCATTAAATTTTTCAACTGACCTAATCCTTCCAGCTGAACTATGGCCCTGGGGTTGACTCAGCCTCTAACAGAAATGAGTACCAGGAGTCTTCCTGGGGGTAAAGGGTGGCAAGCATATAAGTTTAACATCATCACCGCCATCTGTGAGCCGAATGTCTCAAAATGCTATGGGCCTCCACAGCCTGTTACAGGGCTGGCTTTACCTCTACCTTACATAAGCTGTTGTTAGTTAGGTTCTATTTAACAATTCGGAAATACTGAATTTTTCTCATGAAGCTTCATGGCATGCAGTCACTTCAAAACAATACCATCCAGCTCCAGATAAAAATTATTGCTCACCCTTGTTTTAGGGGAGTACAGTTGTCAAACATGACACTTTATGCAATACTGCATGATACTGGCAATGCTTCAGCTCAAAAAATATTTTACCAAGAGATATTACATTGCAGTCACTTGAATTCTCTTTAAATTCCCTTTCATGTGTTACAAAATTTGATAATGGACAATAAATTTTGCCAACTCTTTAGAATGCTGGGTAAGTTACATGTCACTATTACTCTTTATGTGCTAATTTTAATTTAGAATATTTAGAAACAATAAGAAAACTTAAAAAAAGGGACAGGAAGAAGGAAGGATAACTATATTATTCAGAACTTATAAATTTTCTGGACTATTTATTATTCACTGTAATGAATATAAACTCACACCATCAAAGCCTAATACCTGTGCACAGGTGTGCGGCCACCACCTCTAAGCTGCATTACAGCTGTATCCTTGGATGTGGTAAAATCTAGTTTGCGGAGGAATCGATCTTTCACATAATACAATAAGTTTCCATGGACAGCATATGCTGGACGTTCCCTCTCCAACTGTATAACAAAAATGCATCTCTCTTACAACTGTGACTCTTAATAAGCACAGAAGGAGAAAATGGAAAGATTCTGGGAAAACATATAAAGCCTACATTCTTTTAAATGCTCACATCTATCTACAGAGGCTAGTGCAAATTATAAACTGCGAATTACACAATTTAAGTGCATAATATTCGCTAGTATACAATTCTACTAAAATTTTCATTTGCACAGAATTTACATGGCATACACAAGGTAAATACTCTCACAAATGAAGGCCTTATTATCATCAAAAACACACACACATGTCAATGTGAATCAATGCTCAGCAAAGCACAACATATATTTTCCAAGTGTCAGCAGTTTCCATCAACATTCATTACATGAACTCCAACACAGCCACACTATGCTGAACCTACACCAAATAGGTCTATGTAAAAAAAACTGAGTGGTGGTGGTGATAAAATTGCTATAATGTAGGGAAAAATTACATGTTAGGGCAGAAACTACAAGGTATATAACAAATCAAGTCTGTTGACCACTAAGTGAACAGTGGTAAGAGTGCTGATTTTTCTGGCTTCATAGTTAAAATAGCAGTGATTAAGTGAAAATACGTTGATCAGTCACCTCTTGTACCTGCTTCAAAATTAGCTCATAAAATAAATATGCATATGTAGAAGATGGTGAGACTGCTTGCTGTATGGGTTGAAGATCAGAACCAGAAAAACAGGCCTCCAAGTTTCACTTCAGCAATGATCAATGCCCCCTCCCCCCTTCCCAAAAAAAGAAATAACTGTTTACACATGACAATTAAGGGAAGTTTCCACATTTTATAGCAAGAAATGATAATGTTACAATGATGAAAATTACACTCCTAGAGTACTAATGTTGAGTTATTTCATATCTAAAGTCTTTATATAGAAACTAAATTCTAGCAATGCATCCTCTTAGGCTGCACCACAGCTCAAGTGGTTAGTCGCTGGCTTCCCACTGCAGCGGCTCAGGTTTGATCCCGGGTCTGGTCAAGTGGGATTTGTGGTGGACAAAGTGGTGCTGGGGCAGGTTTTCTCCAAGTACTTAGGTTTCCCCTGCCAATCTTCATTCCACAAATTGCTCCACAATCACCCTCACCTATAATCTGGGGCTGGTACAATAGGCCAAAAGTGGCCGCAGTACAAGGGACTTAGTCCCACCCCACTAGCAATAAAAAAAATGCATCCTCTTTGTATGTTTCGGTATTACTGTGCATACATGGTAAGTCCAGGATCCGTTATGACTCTTTTTTTTTAATTTGCTCTGCAATGCCATCTGTTGGTGAGTTGTGGCATTAAGATTCTTGAAGTTTCAGCTGTGGCTGTCTATAATTTCAAAGCGCAAGCATTGCTGCATCATGTGTTCTGACCTTGAATGTAACAGTACTGTTCTGACGCTCATCAGAAAATGGCAGTTAAACAGAGAGCCAACATCAAATTTTGTTTGAAATTAGGCAAAACATCCGGAGAAGCGTATGAAATGATGAAAAGTGTGTACAGTAGTGATTGTTTGAGTCACTCGAATATTTTTCGATAGTATTCTGTATTTCGTGATGGCAGGGAGGACATTGAAGACACTCCGCTCCACGTGCATCAAAGCCGAGAACAAGGCACACTGAAGAAAATGTGAAAAAAGTGACCGGACCGAAATCCTTGCATCAGACAGCTGTGTTTCTACAAAACTCATCGAGGAGCTTTTGTGAATACCAAAAAGTACTGTGCATCAAATTTTGACCAAGGATTTGGGCAAACAAAAGGTCTGTGCATGGGTTGTACTGCACGCGCTGTCAGGCGATGAAAAACATGCCAGAGTGGAACACTGCAGAGACATGTTATGGTCGGCCCAAAGTGATACAAAATTTACAAAATTGATTGTTACTGGTGACGAGACATGGCGATTTCAATATGAGCCTCTAACAAAGCGGCAGAGTGGAGCGTGGTTGAGTCCAAAGAAGCCAACAGCAAAGAAAGTGCGCATGCAAAGAGTCGAATAAAGACAATGCTAATCATTTTCTTTGATTCCAAAGGAATCATTCACAAGGAATTTTTGCCAGAAGATCAAACAGTGAATTCTGATTATCTTGGAGTCCTCAATCGTTTTTGGGCGAGAATTCTTCAAATTCGACCTGAATATCGAGAGCAAGGTTCCTGGTCACTCCTCCACAATGGCCCACCCAAAAAACCGAAGATTGTGCACGATTTTTTGGCTAGAAAAGGGATCACAGTCCCTGATCATTTTCCTTATTTGCCAGATTTGGCTCCAGCAGATTTCTGGTTGTTCCCAAAAGTTAAGTTGGGGATGAAAGGAGACTGTCACGACACCATCCATGACATCCAAAGGGAATGTACCGCAGTTTTAAATGTGATTCCACAAAAGCAGTACAGTGACTGTTTTCGAAAACTTTTCAATCGATTCAAGCTATGTATTGATTCAAAAGGAGACTATTTTGAATAAAATTAGTGAAATTTTGAAAATAATTCACGTCTTGTATTTTTAATGAACACAGTCCTAACAGAACCTGGACACACTGCGTAAGAACCACCAATAAGCATTTCCCATTGAACTTCAAACTAAATGGTGTAATTTCCTACTGACACTGACAGTGCCATACCAAGAAATTCACACTCTTCAAGCTAGTCTCTGTTGATTTCTTGATAACAATATACTAAATACCAACCTTGAATATAATCATGCCAGAATCATGGCCTGCAGCAAACAGATTCAGAGATGGGTGAGCAGCTAATACCCAGAAACGTTCATGTTCTCTTCTGAATGTGTGCAGGCAAGTGCGTTTGCTCATGTCCCACACACGTATGCTCTTGTCTTCAGAGTTGGAGAGAATGAGTTCTTGACGGGGATGAAATAGTACACATGAAACATTATTATAGTGCCCACGGCATGTGTCCACTTCCCAAGCCTGTCAATTTTAAAATATAAACATGTTAAGAAAATAAGGCTACACATTTCCACTTAAGAAAGGAAGTTACATACATATTATCCATTTATTCAGCAACTGAAAAATGTTAATAAATCGCTCTCTATAATAAAGCACTGATATCTGCAGCTGCTGTGGTCATGATTACTCTACAAGACTATATGTGGCAAAAGAGCTCACATGATGCAAAGGGAGTATGATTATTTAATGACACTTCATCAGCCATACACTACTTGGTGCAAAACTGTATGACAGGACAGTCATGTTCAGTGAACTTAAAAAGAATTTGGGAGGAAGAAGTTGGGGGCTATTTCAAGGTCTTATCCCAGCATTCAGGTGAAGGGACTAAGCAAAATCACATACACAAAGAAATGTGTAGGATAACCAGTGTCATAGCCAAGATCTGAGATGGTCCTTTCTTGAATACACATCAGATACATGGCAGCTGAAGCTAATCTCCTCAGTTTATTGTGTTAAGCTGATTTCTAAGAATCATTATGGTACAATTTATGAAATCATGAATGATTTTTAAAACATTAACAGCAGTAAAATGCCACACAACTGGAGTTACAATTGCTGCATGATGCTGAATGACCACTACCAAACAATGATTTGGAAAAAATCCTGTCCTTAATATAGGTACACTCCGCTTGACACCCACAAAAATATAACATTCTGTAATACACGCTTGGCTGCATGATAGTGTCCTGAGATTGCTCGCACTGGCAACATTCCAACTTCATTTTAAAAACACATATTAATCAGTTAGTAAATAAAGGTGTATCAGATCCCCACTGAACTGTAGGTGAGACTGCACTGTGACATGACCATTCCAAAAGTGCTAAAAGTAGAAACAGTTTTATAATCCAATTTGGTAACAAATACCAACATTACATTTCATTAAAATTTTACATAAAACATGCTACAGCATTAGCTTCAGTCCTTACTTTTGCTTCATTCATTCTCCACAGCTTTATCTGCCTGTCATCTGCACCTGAGACAATCAGAGGAAGGGTTGGGTGAAAGCAGGCCCAGTTCACCCCTCTATCATGGCCCTCTAATACATGTTTCACAACAGCATCTGCTTGCCCAAACAAGTCTGTTGCTCCCGGGTTCTTGAGATGCTCATCCAAGCCTCCTGGTCCTGGTGCCACATTCTTCTTCCGAAGGCCTATAATATGACCAAATGCCTTCCATAACACACTAAAGCACATTTCTTACAAACAGACTTTACATTACTTCGGTAGTATCGCCATATGATTTAATGAACACTATGTATGCATCATTGAGTCATTAAACATTTCCACAAAAGGGAAGTGTTGGTATAATGATGGGAATAATACAAAGGTTTCTCTCAACAGAATTTGTGTGACTGTGTAAGCCTTAACTTACAGTAATCAGTGAATATACAAACCTGACTACAATAGCCTTACTAATGAAAATATATATAAACTTATCCTACATACCACAAAACAAGTCCTTATAAAATATTTACACATAGAAATGAACTTGTCTTTCAAGAAACTAAGTCACAATGAACTTGTAGAGTTTTTATTTCTCAAAACAATTATGTAAAACTTACTTTGTAGTATTACTTTATTGAAGTCAATGTGTCAAACTTAATTGTATAACTGCTCATGTTGAAAAAAAAAGTTTATCTTTTCTCATAATTCATGTATCAGATTTGAATACATAAAGAACATTCTTTTAAACAGAACATTCAAATCCAGAGATGAGAAAAATCTATATACAGTACCATACCTGTGCCCAGATTATTTCACTGCAGGAGAACTTCACGCATACAGTTTTACAAGTATACATGTATCTCCCTCAATGTTAAACAACTACATGAAAAGGCATACAGCCCATGGTCTGATCTGAAATTATGTATGTAATATGTATACTGTATAAGAATGGATTGAGAGAAACAGAGAGGTGAAGATGTGAAAATAAGAAATTCTCTGAAAGGATACCAATGGCCTTTGAACACAAGACATACATTTAAACTTTGCTATAAATTACATGAGGGCCTGGAATACTTATAATTTTTATAAACATAATGCTGCAGTTGCCATACTGCATTACACCAAAATAATGTATTCTAATTATGTTTCAGCCAAGTTGTTGTTCCAAATGCAGTGATTATAATAAAGTTTAAATGCAGAGGAAATGAATAACTTCAGTGATTCTATCAGTAACATTTTTAATCACAGAGATATACAGAAGGGGATGGGAGGAAGTTGGAATAAGTCAGGAAGCGAAGGCTGCGCCATAGCTCAAGCGGTTAGTCGCTGGCTTCCTACTGTGGCGGCCTGGGTTCAAACCCGGGTCTGCTCAAGTGGGATTTGTGGTGGAGAAAGTGCCACTGGGGTAGGTTTTCTCCGAGTACTTCAGTTTCCCCTTCCAATCTTCATTCCACCAAATTCTCCATCATCATAAACACCCGGGACAGGTACAATAGGCCAAATCAGTCAGGAAGGGTGGGTTACTGAGAGAGATGAAATAACAATAAAACATTGCTCCATACACAGAAAACCCTTTAATAGGTATGTTAGTTTAATTTACACCACATTAACCAAGTTTAATCAATACGCTTTCCACCCAAAGAAGTTAGATATGCTTGAGCAGACAGTTGTTCTGAAAAGACGCCAATCATACTGAATTTCTCAAAGCCATGAACTCAGATGCACTCCCAAGTCAAGTTTAATTAATCAAGCTCTAAAATTTCTAGTTATTTTTAACTTTACTGATACCAGTATTCAGTTTCAGAAATGAAGTCTGAGCTTGAAGTAGCACTACCTATACCAGCATTCTGGTAGCAGAACTTAAAAAGTCAACCAAAATCTAGTACTACACAAGCAAGCCTTGTTCAGTTCCATTCATCTCACAACCTCACAAATTACTTCTGTAACATCCATCTTAACATTAACCTCCCATCTCCTTTTCAATCTTCAATGCGACTTCCCCACCAGGATTACTATGTGCTGTATGCAATCATTAGTGGAAAAACAAATTTTTATACTTAGGAAGACTTAACTCTTTGCAGTTCTATGACAGACTGAGCCTGCCACATGTTTCATGAATGTTATAGACAATCTGGAGTCAGTCTAAGGGAGGCAAACAGTATCACTGTATCATTCAAGACTTCCTCTTTGCAGTGGTAACAAACTGTTTGTTGTAGTACTTCTGTGAATTTTAGAATACATTTTTCGAAGCATTTGCATATACTTTTCTCTGTAGTCATAAATCGATGGCGTCTTCCAGTGGGCATGCATTGGACAGCAAACAGATCCATGAGCAACTGCATGATGACTTCGATTCTTTCAGTGACTTCAGTTAGGATTCAGACATTGATAGAATTTGATTGTATTGAGCCTGATGCTGAAATACCTGAGTCCGATTTGAGTGACAACTGTAGTAATTCTGATGACTGTCAGGCAAGTGGTGGTGGTGCTGCTTACAATGATAAAGATGACAATGAAGATTGGGCTCTCTGAGACGAAAATGACCATGATTCCTATATATCATTTTATGACTCATCTGGTTATAAACCACCTTGAACTGGACAAATGCCTGTTTCTCCACATGAATTTAGTGCACCTTTGTTTGAAGAAATAGTTGCTGAGAAGAACAGGTATGTAAAGAAAACACCCTGTATAATATGAACCAGCAGTCTGCAAAACTTCCAACTCTGTCTCACCTGGAGTACCATAAGAAAGTGATTGAAGTATTTGTAGAAAACATTTGAAAAAAATGACCAAAAAGAGAGGAAGACCAAGCTGCAACAGCTGCAGAAGATGTCTGAATGGCAAGCTGCATCTAATTCAGGCATATGATAGGAATGTAACAAATGATTGTGCCATTTGCTCCAACAAAAAAGTGAAAGGAGGCAGAAGAGAAACATCATTCTAATACGAAGGGCGTTCTGTATATAATGCCTCCTATTTTTTTTTTTGTGTTAATATGTAACATCTGAGCTGGATGTTGGTGGTGTTGTAGTAAAGGTTGAACCTTCCCGCCAATGTACTGTTAGTTTGGTTGTCGTGCGATAGATAGCGACAGCAGAGTAGTCTACCAAAATGGTGTCTGACGTAGAAGTACATACGAAACAGAGATGTATTATTGAATTTCTCACTGCCAAACAAATTGCACCCACTGACATCAATCGACGCTTGCTAAAGGTGTACGGAGACGATACAGTGGATGTCAGCACAGTGAGGCAGTGGGTAGTGCGTTTCAACAGTGGCAAAAGTGAAGGGCACGACAAGACACGCCCTGGGCATCCCTGCTCAGCTGCCACTCCTCACAATGAACAGCACCTCGATCAGCTCATCTGTACAGATCGGCAGATAATGACCAGGGAATTGAGTGCACGGCTTAATAACGGCTGTAATGCATTGGAAATGATGTTGGGGAAGCTGGATTATCGCAAAGTTTGTTCCAGGTGGGTCCCATGGATGCTTACTCAGGACCACAAAACTCATCGAAGAGAAGTCTGTCAGAACCTCTTGCACCAGTTTGAGGCTGAAGGTGACAAGTTTCTGGACAGCATCGTCACCAGAGATGAGACGTGGTGTCACCACGAGCCGGAATTCAAAAGATAGTCCATGGAGTGGAGACATCCGGATTCCCCACGAAAAAAGTTCAAGACACAGCCATCGGCAAGGAGAGTGATGTGCACAGTCTTTTGGGGTAGGCGGGGTGTGACTTGTTAGATTTCCTGGAGACTGGTGAGACTGTCAATTCTGAATGCTACCAGTTTGCGACCACTGCGCACATTGCAAAGTTTGGCTGGACTGTCCTACCACATCCACCTTATAGCCCCGATTTAGCACCTTCAGACTTCCACCTCTTTGGGCCTATGAAAGATGGACTATATGGGCAACATTTTCCAGACAACGATGCTGTCATTGCAGTTGTAAGAGAGTGGCTCGCCTATGCTGGCGCAGACTTTTTGAGCGCGGCATACAGGCTCTTGTTCATCGCTGGTAAAAGTGCATAACGAATGGTGGTGATTATGTGGAAAAATTACTGTAAGTAGCTGAAATCCTGCTCTATTTAAATGTGTTATTCTGCTTTCTGTATCTGTTGTACTTTTCATTAAAAAAATAGGAGGCATTATATACGGAATGCTCCTCGTATGACACACGTCTAAGGAAGGCAGGACTCCACCCCAGCAAGTATTTTGCCATATATATTACTATGAATACGTACCATTTGGAATATAGCTAACAGAAATATTTTATATCCGATAAAGTTATAGAAACAATATACCATCTTTCCAGTAGAATATTCTCTCTCTCCTTTTTTTTTTTTTTTACACACACACACACAGCAATCCACCATTAACATGGGCAAGTTGAATCACCCTATTATCATACATTCTTTATATGTAGTCACTTCATCTTACTCTTTGCAGTGTGTTTCATTTTACAGTGCTGACCTCAGTCTCAAACTTACAAACATCATCATCTCCAAAGGAAACATAGCTCCAAATTAGGCATCAAATACTAATACCACATAGGTCTGCAGTAATATAATATGTTTACAGACATTGCAAAAGTTAAAGAAATGGGCTTGATTTCATTCTCTGAAGACTGGTGGCACCATTCACTATATGGGTCACTAGCGAAAGTCCTACAGCCAGTAAAAAATATTTCACGGTCGGTACTGAAGCAGTAGGATCTGTGAGCTTTGCTGACCATATTTTTATCATACTTAGCAATGTTTCTTCCATTTTATTAGAGTTATAATAAAAACAAATCAGTCCACAACAGTAGCTGCAATTAAACTGATCAGTGGAATATAACACCAGCAGAGAAACATAGTGTTACTTAAATGCGACCGTAAATGGTCAAAATATGTCATCCTGGAACAAGTTTATCAGAATAGAACCTGAACAATGCATAAGTTTCTTATTCAAAATCAACACATTTTTGTTACCTTGTGTAATAAAGTTAGTACCCTGAATCTGAGAGAATCCCACCTCCCTTTCAGTAGGGTCAGAAAACCACGCAGTGCTGATGGATTCTTAACTATAAGGAACAATGATGCAAGGTGTACTTCACATAATTATTTTGCTTTGCATACAGCAGAATGGTAATGATTTAACTTGTTATCCCAAGGCAGAGTTTTTATCTCCCACCTTAAGTTCAAATAAATAAAAGAGAAATGTTTAACAAGACATTATATATGAGACAAACACCGTCTTAAGTGTAACAATTTAATTGTAGTTCTTTTTTCTTTCCCTCCTCCACACTACATGTTTCGGCCCTAAATGGCCATCATCAGGTGTGTATTCTTACGTAGCTGTTACACTGCCTGTTAAAATTTAAAATCACCAGTCTTTCTAATTGTATAAAATCTTTGTTAACCTACACGCNAAGATAAGCAGCGACACACACAGAGAGAGCCTACACAGAGCAATATCTGAACAGCATTAAACAAGAAGTGGCCGCTGCAGCACTATAGACATAGGGCATGTACCCTGAGAAATTTTAATTTCAAAATTTGAAAAAGAAAAGGAAAAAAAAATCTTATAGACATTTTAACTCGAATTAAAGTTTTAAAAAAGTGCTAAATTTAGAAATCAATTAATGCGTGTAGGTTAACAAAGATTTTATACAATTAGAAAGACTGGTGATTTTAAATTTTAACAGGCAGTGTAACAGCTACGTAAGAATACACACCTGATGATGGCCATTTAGGGCCGAAACATGTAGTGTGGAGGAGGGAAAGAAAAAAGAACTACAATTAAATTGTTACACTTAAGACGGTGTTTGTCTCATATATATTGTGTGAGTGTAACAGGATGCTCAAATATAATATTGTTTAACAAGACATCTAACATAGCTACTGCAAACTCACAACTGCTGATCTTATAATCAACTTTGACAGACTGACCACCAAATTATGCATCCTTCTTTAACTAGAATAATGAAGCTGTTACAGTGGAAAGCTACCCAACTACTTTTACTGCCTTGTTAGGAGCTACACGCACAGAAATGAAGGTAAAAGCTTAGCAAAGCATCATAAACACTGGTAACAAGCATATGGGTTCCATAAAGGGAGAGGGATTTCACAACTAAATGAGTGATTATAAGCTTCTCAAGAAGGACTTTTCTCCATTTCATTGAAAAGTTAGTTAGTTAGTTTGCTAGCTAGCTACTTCATCTGTTGGTTAGTCAGTCAGTCAGTCAGTTAGCTAGTTAGTAAGCAAGCAAGCTTGTACAAGAATACTGTGTCATTCACTGCATGATTTGTCAGTGATGAACATGTAAATAAATATTATGGTACAGAAGAAAACAATCTGATCAGTTCTCCCTGACCAATGTTCACATTGCCAGAGTTGCCAAAATGCAGTATGGTGATATTAGCAACAGATGTCAAATGTGAATTACAAAAAAAATATAAATGACAATCTCCCATCTTCCAGTGCAGGCAGATACCATTCTTTGAAAGAACTTCTTTTGCAAGTAGTCTTTAATCTATCACTAAGCCCATGACTCATCAGCTGCTTTATTTCTAAGAGGATGGAGCTGTCAGGAAGCTGAAAAGGAAATACTGTGAAAAGAAAGGAGAGTTTCAAGACTTTTCATCCATTGGTCCTACATTAAATGAAAACAATGCTGGATGATGTTTTATATTAAAAGCATTTATGACTGAGTTCCTTGCCACCACATAATGGTGAGCTCCAGATAAGAAGGTTAGCTGCAAATATATTGCATAACCAGTTAGGTGGGTAGTGTGGGGACTGGGTAGGGAGCTAACAACCCTCACCATACAAAAACTAGTATGTTACAGAACGTTACAGAAGGTCTGTCTTAGACAGAGTCTTCACCATGGCAGTAGAGATATATGTTCATCTACATGAACTTTACAGTAGGTTTCATCTAAATACATTTCATTTAACCTAACTAGTTCCATGGTATAATACCAGATTCATTCAGCACTGTCTACAATAGCTTTCTCATAAGCTTTCTTTAAGTCTATAAATAGTTAAGGTACTTTCTCAGCCTACACTCATTTTTTTTCTAGTATCTTTTGAATGCAAAATGTCTTACCTATTATATTCAGGTCTATGCTGTTGATCCCAAATAATTTTATCTCTGTATGTAACCAAACTTGGGAGAAGAATGTTGGATAAAATTTTGTATGAAGCAGATAATAATAATATTCCTCAATTATTACTAATCAATTTTATCTATAAACAGACAGTAATAAACTGATTGCACCTGCTGATATAGCAATTCTTTCATACCCCAAACAGTATAAATAAGTTTACTGACTTCCTACTTGAATCAGTTCTGCTAGGCACTGACAAAAGTCTCTTCAAAGCCTTCCACAACATTAATCTAATTAAGCTGTACATCTGAAAATTACAGTGGACCCTAAGAAATCCAGTCAACAAATAATGTGCCCTTTATTAACTCAGAACAGTAAGACGAGCACACACCAACACTAAAGCAACATTAATAAATTAACTGTGTGTTATTTACATTTGTGATACCATCTAGGTGCAATAGAACCCTCCTAATAAATAATGTACATAACCTCAAAAATTTAAGCTTGAAATCAAAATAATTAAATTTTAAAGTCTCAAATGGAATACTGAGTTATTAACTAATTAAATAATTCTTTTTCCTTAATTTTATCAATTTAAGTAGGATGTGTGCATTTAAATTAACACTAATGTCAAATGCATAATCTGTCACTTGACTAAAGAAACGAAAAGTAAAATTTTAGTGGTACCTTCAGGCTAAAATGCATAACTGAACACACTGTAGATGAGTGTTAATTCTTGGCTTTCAAGTAAAAAGGTAAAGCTATCCCTGTGTTTAACTAATTAAGCACTATGCCATAAGATACATGGGGGAGTGCAGGTATAGCTCCACCATTCTTGATTTCAGCACTAAATGGAGGTGAGTGGTCAGCTTCACGCCCCGTCTGCTTTACCCATGAGGAAACAACCCATGGTACCCATGGTGCTGCATCGTACAGGAGGCTAAGTGGAGCCAAGAGTCAGAGTGGCAACTGTAGAAAAGAGAAAAATCTTGCCCCTGCTAGGAATCGAACCCCAGCCATCCAGCCCGTAGTGTGTTGCTATACCAACTGAGTTTTAATATACAATGTTAAAGATAATTTAATCATCTTCATGTACAAGTAACAGTGTGGATGCAGTTCTACTACATTCATACACAAAGTGACAAAGTAATCTGCTAGTAATCCTTTACCTACTGATTTCATGATAATGATGTATTCAAATATCAACACAGTGACTTAACTGGTTAAGAGCTAATGCCCGATGGTCACATTTTTATATGCTTTAATGAGTTTCCATGATGTTTATATATGATTTATTATGAATTGCGAAGGAAAAATTTATGGACTATTTGAAGATACTATCTCAGCAGCTACCCAGATACTGAGGAAAACCACGAAAAAAGCTCAGTCACACTAACCATAACATGACAGGGATTCAAATCACATTCTCCCAATACAAGGTGAGAACATTACCGGTACACTACCTACCCAGAGGAATTTTATAAGAGGGTTCTACTGTAACATATGTACAAAAGTTTCCCGTTATTGCAACTGGTGCACTGACACTGTACCTATATGCCCATGCAAAATGTACCAGAATAACTGCCTGCTCATGCCCGTACCTTCCAGATTGTTGGCTATACCTGAAATGTCCCACACTCGCACGGTCTGATCAAGCGAGGCAGACACCACAATATCATCACTAGGATGAAACTGGGCACACATTACATAGTGGTTATGCCCAGTAAGTACACAGATGCATGTACGACTCTGCCAGTTCCAGATGCGGATTGTCTGGTCATCTGATGCACTCAATATCCATGGATATTCATGATGAAACATTGTGGTTCGGATGTAATCCAAATGACCAAGCAATGTGAAGATACATCGTCTCTGTTTATAATTCCACACCTACGAACAAGAACGATAGTATGTAAGATTTGAGGTTTTCACGGCGGTGATTATGAAGAAAGCTGTCTTCTGGGATGTGGCGCCATGTAGATGTCATGTTAACCGACGTTTCGGAGGAACGTATCGCCTCCATCTTCAGGGTTGAAGGAAAAAATAAGAAAATCCTCTGAAACGTCGGTTAACACCACATCTACATGGCCCCACATCCCACAAGACTGCTTTCTTCAAGAACAATAGTATTTTTTATACCTGTGTCACATATTTGCACTGTACTACAATTAGTACTCACTACTAATTTTGAAGACACCCATTACCTAATGGAGAGAGCCAAAGGACAGATCTTCTGAAATACTGTGTGCACTGACATATACCATAAGATAACCACTACAAACTTTTCACTAGTCAATGCTTGAAATATGTGTGAAAATTCAGAGTATGTGAACAAGTGAACCTGATACTTCTCGAAAGGCAGACACCACTACGTCTATGAATGTCACTTTCTAAGATCTGGAAGGGAAGAATAAATGGTGTTGTTCCAGAGAGGTTGACACAAAAGCTTCTTCGCCATGACATGTCCGTCATCACGTAGCTCTGCCATCATCAGACAGCACTGAATTTCCATGTCGGATAACTGTGTGGCTTACAGAATACTCATTAAAACCTATCCATGCAGTTTCAGTATCCAGTACAATCATCAAAGTTGCTTGGATGAAGTGGTTAACTAGAATGGGAGCCTCTAGCTGTACACGGCACTGGAGTGTTTTACATTTAACAGTCATTATTAGTTATACCAGAAGTTGCTGTTCATACATTTTTATTCAAACTAATAGAACTTTCACCGTTAAAACTTAATGTGAAGAGAAAATCAGATATCTGCCAATGATGCAAAGCATTATGTTAGTTTAATTTAAAAGCAATACGTTCCTTATTGTTTCATTTCATTCAACACATACATATATAAATAAAGTTATTCAAAATCACATTCTTGATGCTAAAATAGGCTCTTGTCATGATACCACATATTATTCTGGTGAAGTCCAGTCTTCTCAGCCTTCTTTATTTTATAATAAAGCTCTTATTTCCTCTTTAATTTCTTCCATTTTTCTCCATCTTGTACGATTTTACACTGACTGTAACCAACTGTCATACTTCATATGCAGTCTACACCTACAGCTTTTTCTGCTTTCTTTGTAGTACATAAATCAATCACTCTGTGGTGCCACAGCAGTAACTAATAGAAAAGATGTGTAATGTCAAATCCTTCAGCACTACTTTACACAGAGACATAAACACATTTCAGACACAGCAAAACACTCAACAGTACCCCTCTAAAGCTCACTACAAGACATGATCCTGAACCAGTTCAATCCATCTCCCATTTGCACAACTATTTTCCTCCTAAGAACCAGCTTAACATTATATTTTCAGCTCTTCTCAATGTTCAAAGAGTCCCTATTTTCCAAAATTCTGTATATATTCCTTTTCTTTGCTACTGCAGCAAAATGCCCAGGTAACCACAGGCTCCTAGGTTTTCATACAGATCAAAAATAAATTACACGTAACACAATTTAAATTATTTTCCAACACAAACCTTGATTTTATAATCATCTCCCCCAGACACAAAGAGTGGTTGCTGATTATGGAAGCAGATTCCCCGAACTGGACCATCATGTTCATCAAACTTGTCCAACAGGGTGCACATTCTGTAGTCCCACAACTGAATCACTCCATTGTGTAAGCTGTGGAAAATACAATAAAATGAAATACAGGAAGGAAATGTAATAAAGCCTAATTTATTTATATTATCACAGTTGTTCTATGGTACTGATATATAAGATAGTACAGCTAAATAAAAAATGGGAGACATTATTCTGAATGCAGGGATGAGTTGTAAGTTATGTCTGTAATATTAAAACAACTGTCTTGCCAGCCTGCTTACCATACATTTCAGCCAATGATGATCCAGAAAACCATGAGGGATTTAGAACAGAATGGGTCTCATCAGCTTCTTGTCTATGCAGATGATATGATTTAAGGTTCTCAAACCAATTCATATTAAGTTTTTGGTCTTGTGGGAAGTGACACAGTGTAGCTTGGTAAATGGTTATGAGCACCACAGAGGAACCTGCTGCCTCTATCTGCAGGATGCCACATCTCAAACATCACAACATTTATGTTGATGTTAATTTATTTAGCAAACTGCCAAATTACCTTAAATTTACAGACTTCATTCAACCCTTCAAAAGAGGGCAAAGTGTTCTTTAAATAAAGACAACATAAGGTAACTGATTTTGTTTCCTTTTCTGCACTACCTCAGTACCTGCTTGCTTGCTTAACAATTAACAGATTTAGGCTGAATGTTATTATTATCATGAAATTTGTTGTCTACTTAACTCTGTATTGTTAGATATTCCACCAAGCATTTAGTGAGTTTTAACTCTAGACTTATGTTTAGGAGATAATAAATGCAACACGTGGCCAGGCTAAAGGCTATCCTGACAGAAGCTTATCAATGTTTTCCTCAGTCTCTACTGGCAAGAACGTGGGTAGTATACCTTAATATAGACCATTACTACCTCCATCCAAGTCTTTACCTATTCACCATTCAAGAGCACCCCCCTCTCGCCAATTTAGTTCAAAGATATGTAGTTGGAAATGGTTTGTTAAATGTGGTATGATAAATCAATTATTCAGTCCAATTACGTGTCTAAATATCTTGCAAAGTCTATTAAATGCTTCATTCATTCATTCACTCATTCATTCATTCATTCATTCATCCATCCATCCTCCATTCATACACTGGTTCAGTCAAGGCCTCACTTTCTTTGCACAGCAATGATTTCTATTTTCTAAGAAAATATTTCCCATTTTATGGTTGTAAAATCTCAATTTAGAAATCAGAAATGCTAATTTGTCACACAGTCCTGAATGGAATCTGACATGCCTGACAAGCAGTAAAGAGCATTCACACAATTAAACCAGACAGCAAGGACAGTGAGAATTTAAGCAGTTACTCTTAAAGTAGAAAAAGGAACATTACAGCTGGAAATGTTTATTCCTGAACACACTGTCTGGATCTTCCAGAATAAGCATTTCAAACCCTGGTTTGAATATATACCAAGAGGGAGAAACAAATACTGAATATTTTGTACTGGATATAATTTAATATCTCAGTGGAAGTTCAGAGGCTACATATTTTTAAACCTCCTATATATACATAAAATTTTAGTAAGCAGCAAACAGGGTACCACTCAGCTTGCTACTTGCTTCTTGCTGGTTGCTTGTTTGGCTTATCCTTTTATTGTGAAAAGAGAGGCAATAATTTCCTTTGAAATGTCAGTTAACTTCTACCAGACTACACAGCATCACATCCCAGATGATAGACATGTTTAGGGCCAAATAAGTTTTCACTGATATGTATGCCGTGTCCATCTTGTAGTGCACTCAATTTCACCTGTTATTTTTTAAATAATTTTACAATGATATAATGGCAAACAATGCAATAGATTAACGTAAATGGAGCACCTGATGATGGCACTATGTTGCCGAAACATGTTGTGAAATAACAGGTGAAATTGAGTGCACTACAAGACGGACACGGCATACATATCATGGATGAAAATCAGTGCAACAGGATGCTAAAATATAACATTATGAAAAGTTTTCACTGATCTTACCACAGTTTCTGAACTACTGTTACAGTTATAAAAACTAATTTAAATTCACACTATCCCAGACACTACAATCCCAAAATGATGCACATCAGTTATGAAACACCGCAACAGTTGTATGCCAAAGTTCCTATTTATCACAACTTGCACATACCTCAGCACAAAATCCACAAACCCATTTTAAAATCAGACATGTGTTAACATATAAGATAATCTCGGAAATTCAGGAAACTATGGAGATTGCTTGGTTCTTAATACTCCACTGTAAATCAGCACCTCACCAATGATGTTCTCAAGTGTATTTTATGCCACAAATACTACCAGTGTATGGAACAAAACATGTGACCAATTCTAATTCTGTCCACTAAGGAGAGAGGTAGAGGTTTCATATAACAGGAGTCAGGATCAATTTTGCAACATTAAGACACCATTTAAACTAAGTTACAACAGTCTGCAAAACATGCACTTCTGTAAAGACACCAACACCAAACTGTCTCAAAACTGACAAGTCAGTTTGTTTAGTTACATTACTTGAACATATTACTGTTATGTACAGTGTTGCACTACTTATATGGAGGCTTCCAGGAGGAAATTCTTGTAAATTAAAATGAATCAGTACAATAAATTTCTCATGCACCTGAAATGGGGGGGGGGGAAACTACGAAGAAAGTAGCAAATAAAAAACTCATTTCTGAAGCATTCCATACGCAGTATGCTGAATTTGAGATTCTCACAGCAGTAACTGTGAAAAGTCCTGTATTCAGGGTTGCAAAGCCATGTATTCTGGAAAGAACCTGATGATTTAGAAGAGCATACTGTCTCTATCTTCAGGATCAAAGAGTAAACTAAGAAATAATGTGCTCTTCATTCTGTTTGCAATTTACTGATAGAAGCTATTCACTGAATATTATTTCCATCAAAGTTCTGTATTTCCAAATGTTTCCATACTAGCAAACTTTTACTGTCAGCAAAAGAAACTGGTCACACCAAGTCACCATATATGCAAAATTTTTTAATGCCATAAAAATAAATTTACAGAAGCCAATATTTATATACATTTCATTCTTTTCAGTAACCCTAAACATTCATTAGTTGCAACATTTCCCTTGAGGTTAATAGCAACAGTAAAATATCAAAAAAGAAACAGTTATGATCCATTTATTTACATTTTTCTGTCCCAGATTTTCTGTGTAAACAAAAAAAAAATGACACTAATTAGCTGAGGTTTCTGCAACATTTCAGCAGAGACCTTGAAACAACATAAACTGGACTCACTCCTGTTGACAACATGGCTTCTAATATATGATTAATAGGTTTATTTCACATTGCAGTTTCAATTGCACAGGTTACACAATTGAAACATGAAATAGGTGGTAATAATCTGGATGTGGTTATCGTCTGAGTGGACTATCCTGGAACACACCTGACTGTATAGCAGGAGAGCATCTCTAGTTGCACCAGAATGTGCTTATACAGTTTGTGACAGCTGAGGCTACTCCCATCCCCTCCAACCACATTATCAGTCCCATTTTTCCAAAGTTCATATTAATCTCCATAAAATAATAGAAATACCATGCAATCAAAAGAGCATCTTCACTTTCTGTTCTCCTTTGAGATTTTTTTATTTATATGAGATATGATGCAAAAGTAACATGACTGAGAGTTTGTTCATTTACAGATCAATCCTCTGGCCTCTTCTGATACAGAATTCTGAAACACTATATTCTTGGAACATATGGTGGGCCTCCTTGGGACTGACACAACACATCTCTCTACCTACACAAGACCCAACATGAATTCAAACCTGCAATCTTGATGTCTGAGACCACATGGCCACTGTCAATGGCACGAAAACAACTTGGATTCATAAAGTTTATTTGCTACACTTCCAAATATTCTCAGTCTCATCTTATTTCCAAATTATTACACACATATGAACAAGGTTTTTGACAGCCTATTAATAAACCAATTAAGTGGACTAGTTATGTGATCTCTTCCTTCATACACTAAAAGACCTTCAATTCATTTAAACACCCTACCTCTCACACTAAAACGTAATAAAGTTAGGAAGTAAATAACTGGACATGTAATGACACTTCAACTAGTATTAAAATTCTGAACGTATTCTTCATTCGCCATCTGTCCTACATATCTGATGCATCTTAACATTCTTCATTAAATCATATTAGGTTCTTATACATATACTCAATTTTCACGCCAATTTACCTCCCTCATAACCAAGTATTAAAACCGACGCCTCATCCTCATACAGCGTACATCAATTCATGATATACAAGGAAATGTAAAAAGCAAGACACTTGCTGTCATTATATGTCAGAGTAGGTGGTAGTTATGAATAGGAGAAGAAGATGAAATCAATTAGAGCAATGGAAGGAATACTTAGGTCAGTACCGTAGTATCAACCCTCAATGAAAAAGTGCATACTGTGTCTCTAGAGTCTACATAGAGGCACACATCTGAATACTGTTGTTCTAATACATCAGTTTAGTATCTCAGTATAAATGCACTGTCTATCCATAACTTTTCAACTTTTCAATAAAGCCTGTTTTTATGAACAAAAAAGTTTCACATTCACTGAAATTGTTTTTTAACACATTTTATAATACAAATTCAATACTGATGTTGACAATCTCAATAATTTCCTGGGCATTATGATAGGTATAAAAATATCTTTTAATTTCATAACGTAAATCAAGCTAGAAACCAGATACTTTTCAGAATGTGTACAATGTGAACTCTATAATAAATCATTTTTAACGGTCCCTGCCAAAGACACTGTTGTCCTCGGTTCATCATATGGGCCATGGGGGCAGACCCAAAGGGCGAACGTTGTCATAAACAGTTAAAAAATATGGAGCTTCGATTTTCTTTTTGTTGTTCATTTCTGGCTGCCGCTTTGCTACTCTTTTAGGTAACGCATTAGGCCAGACTAAGTTCCTTTATTTTTACTTTATTGTTGTTATTAATCCTCCATTACAAATCGGTTTGATTGATGGGGGCGATATGTATCAGTTCTCACTTAACTGACATAAAACGTCTTGACAATA